TAAATTCTTGATTAATACAAAAGGGAGGAAAGGAGTAAGGAACAAGAATAGATGAAGTAGAAAACTAATGGCAAGATAATAGACCTAAAATTGTTCCTTTGGCCTCTGGATGGAGCACAGGTTATAGATGACAAGAAAGGAAACTGGATTAGTTAGGAGACTTTAAATAATGCAGAGAATAGATAATAGGGCAATGAACCGGAGTAGGAGAGGAAGAGATTGTGTGAAGTAGCCAGATTCCAAGTATATTCTGAAAGTAGAGCTGATGAATATGTTAAAAATTGAATAAGGAATATGAGTAAAAGAGAGGTACCAGGGTGACGGCAAAGTTTCTTGCTTGAAAAACTGGCAGCGGTATCTGCAACCCCAAGAACAGAACTCAAGGGGATTACGCTAAGTAAAATAAGTCAGGACAAATACGGAATGATTTCACTCATATGTAGTATATAAAGAAACAAAGTAAAGATACAGACAAAACTAAATCAAAACAAACTCTAGAAGAATCTGACTGCAGAACTGAGGCCACTAGAGAGGCAGGGTGGGGGGGATGGGGAGCAAAGGGGGCTGAATGGACTATGGTGAAAGATGATGGTGCTGTGGTGGTGGGTGTGGTGTGGTGATATACATCTGAAGAGGTATGAACCTATATCTCTAAATTTTATACAGTTACCACAATAAAAAAATACAATTTTAAAAAGAAAAACTAGCATCAGTAGAATGTGAACCTAAGGGAAATTTATAGATAAGATCAGAATCTATCATGAGGATGAATTAACTCTGTACTATTATACTAGGTGTTAAGCACTTTTTGGGGATCAAAGCTTTCTTAGACACAAAAACATATCAAGGCGATTTAAAATTGATAGTTTCCCAGCATGTTATACTAGTAAATAAAACTATGAAATAAAAAAAATTAAAAATAAAAGGAATCTCTGGCTTTCCCTATTCCAAGACTCAACACGACTGGACTAGCTTAATCCAATGGCAAATATTCAAACCAGTTCCACAGATTTACTCAGCACCTACATTATGTGATTCTATTGGTTGGCAAGATAATAGTGTGGTTGCACTGGTTTCAAGGGTGGAACAACTAAACATTTATTCTTTTGGCAAACATTTAAGTGTCTATTAGGTACCAAATATTAAAGATGAATGTTAGAAACCCTAAATGAATAGAAAAACAAAGAAAGTTATTGCTTTCCAGGGATACATATGTTACCGAGGGAGGTAGACTTACCAGCCTATAGGTACTGCAATATAAGCACTATGATACAGGGCATACACATGTCACCAAGGAGAAGATAAGATGGCACATTTACCTTTCTACAGAGAAGAATGGAAAATCAGGATAACAGAGAGGATAAGACTCTTAGCCAGACAAACCCGGATCATTTCTCATATGTCAAATGGGCATAATATGTATCTCATAGGATTTCAAATCACACACACGCGCGCACACGCGCGCGCACGCGCGCACACACACACACACACACACGACTGTATCACAGCATGTGGTATATAGTATATGTTGAATAATAATAATTATTATTACTAAGCTGTACAGGTTACCAATTTATTAGCTCTTCTTTCCAAGTTTTGTAACACTGAGTTGGACCCTGCAAATCTTTCCCCATTGGTCAGCTGATGAAATTTAAAACTTCATCAATAGAAGGCACCAGAGTGACTCTATAAGACAGCAGTGACAGGAAGACACTTCAGATTCAGCTGCTGGTCTTCTATTACTATTATTCAGCACAAAAGCACAGCAGCCACATAGAGAGTTCCAGACTGTCTTTCCACCAGCAGCCACATGCATGCTACTCTCTCCAGTGATGGCAGGCAACTCTACAGGCAGTTCTGACCAGCGACACACTCTCCAACAATAGCAGAGCATTTCTAGATAGCACTACCATCCAGCACCTCTGGCAAGTTTCTCCTCTTTCTGAAGACTGTGTGTAACCATGACAGCCATACTCTCTTCCAAGAAGTTCATATCTCCCTCATTTAGCACTTAATCATACTCTACTTGTTAATAATCCTGGCATTAAATTTGGGTGTGTTCAAATAATGTTCAAATAATGGGTATGGTTTCTGTTTCCTTATTGAACCTTGACTGATACACAAAGCTTACCAAAAAAGAACAAAACTTGATATGGGGAAATTAGGTAGAAAGGTATAGGAACCAGAAATAGCAAAGTTGGGAGACTGCAAGTAATTCGAGAGTGAGCTGACTGTAGGACAGGATTAAGAAAGATCAGATTCTGAAGGGAATTTTCTTTTTTTTTTTTTTAAGATTTATTTATTTATTTATACAAGCACTGGGCACAGTCAGAAGCGCGGGAGGGTAAGAGAATTCACCAGAGCCAGAGCAGGGAGCAGAACAGACAGACTGATGAAGTACACTGCTGAGGGGAGCAGCGGGAGGCAGGAGAGGTTTGAGCGCCATATGGGACCCTCGCCCGGTGGCCGGGGATAGAACTGGTGCTGCAGAGGCTGTGGGCAGCTTCGCAACCCAGAGCTCAACCACTGTGCCACCGGGGAGGCCCTGAAGGGAATTTTCAAAGTAAGAATTTGGAACAAGGATACATGGTGGATTTCAAGGAAGACTCATGTCATATTCGTATTTTACAAAAATCTGCTGTGTGGCTGTGTAAGAGACTGGCAAATTGAAGGTAAAATTTAGAGATAGGTGAAATTATAAAAGAATACGATGAATGACATCCCTAGAACTCACAAATATTTCCAGTGCCCTTTTTATCTAGACACACAGAAACATTACACATCCCCATCATTGACATTAGGTCTGACCCTGTAATTTTCTTTGGCCACAAAAATGTGAAGAAATTGATGAAAATCACTGTTAATGGAAGCAATCAAGAGATGCTGCTTAATTATCTATGGTCCCTTTTTCTGCTGATGCAAACCTTGAAGAGGTTTCCCAATATACCTTCTAGACAAGGACTAAGACTGATTTTTCTCCATTTAAAAATAGTCACATCTGCCAAGAAGTACCGAATGCTTCAAATCTGATTTCACTCATTATCAAATACCACTTGGTTAATAGTCTCTACAACAAACTTAAAGTTATAGACTTTAACTTATGTTTTATACAATTGTAAAATTCCTGCATTTTTTAAATATTTATTTATTTATGCATACAAGAGCTGGGGTACAGGCTAGATATGCGGGGTGGGGGTGGGAGTGAGAGGATCCATCAGAGACAGAGTGGGGAACAGAACAGGCAGACCGACTGAAATAAACTGAGAAGGGGAGCAGTGGGCGAGATAGGAGAGGTCTGCCTCGCCATGTGGGTTTCTCCCTGACCGGCCGGGGATTGAATTCATGCTGCAGAGGCCATGGATTTCTTCATAGTGTGGTGCTTATCCCCTTGCGCCACCAGGGAGGCCCAATTCCTGCATGTTTTTCCCTTCAAAGTTAAAAATCTAGCTTTAGTAGTCTGGAACTTCTGTCAACCCAGACACAATATTCTAGGCAAACATTTTTTTTCTTTTCCAAATTTCTCCTTCCCTGCTAGAAGGACTGAGTACTTGGTGATGCAGAAAGTAAGGAATATATTAAGGTAAATGAGGTCGTGAAAGAGAAATCAACATGTGGGAAGTAGAAAGGTTTTCTGGGGCTACAGCTCCCACAGGTGGAGGTGTTATATCGGAGACATCAGTCATGTCAAGCAGCCCTGCTAGGAGGTTACTTTGTGTTGTTGGGGTCACATACAATTCACCTGATGACTAACACACATCAGTTAAATCAGGGGCCTAGAAAATAGAATGTGGGTCACCCAAATAGACCCAATCCTGACATGCCCTAAGAACTTTGAGGTGGTGAAGCACTTCCAAAGAGAACGATTGTTTTACAAAGATCTGACAAAGAATTTTTCTCTCTGTATTTTGGTTTTGGAAATAATAAAGGTAAATATACATTCCCTGACCCTTTACACTTATTTGGCCTAAAATAAAATTTATACACCTAAAATAAAGGTGTATAAAGGGGTCAGATTTCACCAAGTTCACAACTATCTCTTAACAGAATCTACTTCCAGGCGTGTGGGCTGGACAGTAAGAGGTGGGGAAGAGGTGTAGGGACTGAGAAACAGACTGAAAATACCACCTTGTCTGCTCGTGCACCTTTCTTTCCTTCTTATCAGCTCTCACCTAAAAGACTCAGCACAAAATGAATACCCACTGCTGGTTTGATTAAAAATTTCTAAAACATAGAACACATTGCTACACCCCCTTTCCGAGAGGGGGATCACTCTTTAGCCCACGCTCTTACGTGTTCCTGCTGGCTTAATGAGAGCCTCGCCCAAAATAACCTTTCAGTATCTCCCCTCCTCAGGGGCTCGGTTCTCAGTCATCACAGAAATTCATGGCCCTGCTAGCGCAGAAACTTATTTCATATTCATTTCTTGATAACTGAGGTAAAGGAAGTGGAACTAGGTCCTTGGGCACTGAGCAGGGCATCGGCAAGACGAGCCACCAATTAACTTTGTCCACACCTGCTCGGGCTGGGTCTGGGCCCGTTCAACTAGTCGCGCTGCCCCCCATTCCAGCGCGGGGGCACGCCAGGAAGAGGAGGGGTCTGCAGCTCTGGCCTCTCCAGGGTCTCCCCGGCCTCCCTCTTGACGCTGCCCTCTTCCTCGCCCCAGCGCACCCCGGGAATACCCCGCCCAGCAGGGAGGAGCAGCGCCTCCGCCAGGGGCGTCCGAGGGCCAGGTGGGGGAGATGGAAGGAACCAGGCGAGGAGGGGCCGGGCCGAGGTCCGCGGACAAGCGCCTCTCGCCCCGGGACTGGCTGCTCGGTCCTCTCCCCTGCTTTCGCCCGGTTCCGTCTCGAGGGCCCGGCGGCGCCCCGGCTGGCTTCCCCCGAAACTTCCGCGGGCCGTGGTCGCCCCCCGGCGGGCGCGTTACCTAGTGCCACGGCCACGGTCACGCCGCCGTCACAGGCGCCCTCAACCCCGCCCCTCGCCTCCCGCCGTCTCTCTCTCCTTCACCCGCACCTGCCCGCAGCTCCCGGGGCCGCAGGTGCGGACGACAGCCGAATTCCACGCCCCGCGGAGACCCGCCGGCTCTGGGAGGTGAAGGGAACGTGCGGTCTCGTGCCGCTGCCGGGCCGGCGCCCCAGGTGCGCCCGAACCCCGCGGCTCCGCTCGGCGGGGCGCTGGTGATCGGGGAGGCTGGGGCTCTAACCCCCGGCCCGCGCGCGGTCCAAGCCCCCGCCCCTCCTCTCCCGCCCACCCCCAAAATCCAAGGGAAGGATGAGGTGCTCGCGCCTTCAGGGTTCATTTCAAGCTGCTCTGCTAATTCTCCATCTTCTCTACAAAGGGCTTTTCTGCTGGGATCCCAGAAACCTGGAGCCTGTTGGATGAGTCTCCTTACTTTTTAGAAAGAACTTTGGGGTGGACCTTGGCGCGGGGGGGGGGGGGGGACGGGGGGGGTGGATGGGTGGGGGGTAGATGTTCCCTTGAATCACTGAGGTTAAAGGTGAGGCAAGAACTGATTTTCAGTGGATGTCTGCGAGGTAGCAGTTTTATATAGAACTACATACAGGTCGTCCACGCAGTGTTCTAAGAAACATCTTCCACTATATGAATTTGTTTCAGTTGAAATTCATTCCACAGGACTTAAGTTATTACTGATGTGACATCTCAGAACAGTCACACACACCCACACCCACACACCCAGCCACCCACCCACACACACACACAGAGGCCTGCGGCTTTCAGCAAGGAAGAAAGCCCCTGATTTCCATGGAGTGTTGCTCTGAACAATGAAGTTGTGCAAAGTATGTTTCCTGCCTGTTGAGGAAGGGTCAGCGTGATTGTGGTCAAGTGTGTCCTCTTCTTTTTCAGATTGAGCTTTATTAACCAAGAAGCATGGAGGTCATTCACGGCAGGCCCTACTGTTGCAGGGAGCTTGATGGATCTGATACACTGTCAGACACCTTTTACTCTAATGAAGTACACACTCCACTAGAAACAACTACTCGCCCAACTGCCTCCCGAGACAGGTAAAAAGAAGAGAAAGCACTCGAGGAAAAAGTTATAGTGTATTTTTGTATGTGAGGAAAACATACATCAACGTAGGGGTCTTCTGTTGAACACATCATAGGGAAGGCATACCATGGTATAACAGTTAACTTTTACTCCTTCCAGGATAGCAACTCAGTCTAGTTCCACTGATAACTCAGCTTTGGTGTTCAGAGTACATGAAAATTGCCTGAGGAGCCTTCTAAAATACAGATTTCCAGGCTCTTATCTGCATATATTCTAGCATACTAGCTTTGAGGTGAGTCTGGGGAGTCTGCATTTCCAGAAGTCTTTTAGCTTGTTTTGAGAACTACTGAGCTAGTAGAAAGCACTAAAAACAGTAAGAAAACCAGGATTATGGCTTTGGCTTACTCATTGGTCAAGAGCAAATTAATTTTTATATTTCAGTTACTTTCTCCGCCCTTATGTTTTGGAGCAATTTAGTAGTCACTATTATATATACTCTGACTTGATCCTCTATAAAAATATTAATAAGCACATGATATTCTTTTGTACATTTTTGAAAGTTTTAAAATGGTAGTTACAGCTACTCAAATAACCACAGATTCCTATCCCTTTTTCCTATTTATTCAGTTGACATTGCCTTATGTCTAGCAAGTTCTCTAGCTCATCAGGCAAACATATCAATTAAGGATGCGTTTGAGAATTGCTTAAGATTTCATTATAGGTTTCCATTTTGTTTCTGCATTCATTCCATTGCTTTCTGACTCCTGAATTTTTATTTATTTTTTTACTATTAGCTCCCAGCCAACTGAAAAATGACAGTATCTTTGTTCTCAGCTTTCCTTTATCATGCCTTCCAGTAACTACTGGCTAAATTTAACCCCCAGAATTTGGAATGTAATGCTCAAAATTCTGTAAAATTACTCTAATTTGAGAGATTATTCCATCCATAGGAACGTATCTTTGTCCAACACAAGTAAACTTTAATTTTATGTAGGTATACTTTGTATCACAATAATTTTGTTATTTTCCTTTTTCTGGACTCATGTATTATTCAAGCTTTAAAATTATTTAATCCCATCATTTCAATATTTATTATAATTACTTTCTTCTCTAAAATTCTAGTAACATTAAAGCTAAGGGAGGGAAATAAGAAACCCTAAAATAAAACAGAAATATGACTTATTTTTGCTTTGCCCTTTTTAAATGGTTTCCTGCAACTTTCTGGCTCTAAATGGTTAATCAACCCCAGTGATTGATTAGCATTTTTTACTGGCTCATCTTTCTGAAACAGTATAATATATGGGGGTTAGATGTTGAGAAATTGACTCATCTAATTTAAATGTAACTTTTTAAAACTCAAATATTATAGCTTAGGTTGTCATTAATCAAATGTGTTTGAATATTTTTCACTTGTCATGCCCCTCAAACTGTGTCTGTTGATTATAGCCATAGAGTGGGTAAAGGCCCTGGAGCTGAGTGCCTCCACCCCTTCCTTCTATAGCTATCTAAATCTGGCCACCCAGATTCTCTTTGACTGATTGGCAAGCTTCTTCTATAAAAGACCAGATAGTGGACATTTTAAACTTTACAATCTTTGTCAACTATTCACTTCTGCTATTGTAGGATAAAAACAGCCACAGACAATAGACAGTATAAGATGACTGATTGTGGCTGCATTCCAATAAAGTTGTACTTACAAAAAACAAGTAATAGTTCCTCGAAAAATTAAACATAGAATTATTATATGACCCACCCCATTCCCCTTCTAGATATATACCCAAAATAACTGGAAACAAGTACTCAAACAAAACCTAGTTCATACATGTTCAAAGCATTTTTCACCATAGCCAAAAAGTAGAAAAACCCAGACATCAATCAGCTGATGAATGAAGAAAACATGTTATATTCATACAGTGGAAAGTTATTCAGCCATAAAAAAAATGAACAGCTGATATGTGGTATAGTCACAAAAGCACCCACAGATGATTTCATGTATATGAAACATTCAGAACAGGCAAGTCTAGAGACAGAAAGTGGATTAGTGGTTGCTTAGGGCTAAAGTAGGGGACCATAGCTGAGGGGTTGTTTTTGAGATGAAGACGTTTAAAATTATCATAGTGGGCCTCCCTGGTGGTGCAGGCAGTTGAGCGCAGCGCTGTGAAGCTGTCTGTAGCCTCTGCAGCACGGGTTTGATCCCAGCCAGCCAAGAAGATACCCACATGGCATGGCAGACCTCTCCTGTCTCGCCCGCTGCTCCCCTCAGCAGTGTATTTCCGTCAGTCTGCCTGTTCTGCTCCCCACTCTGTCTCTGGTGAATCCTCTCACCCTCCCACACATCTGGCCTGTACCCCGGTTCTTCCATGCATGAATAAATAAATCTTTAAAAAAATAAAAATAAAATAAAATTATCATAGTTATGGTTGTACAGATTTGTGACTATACTAAAAACCACTTAATTGTATGCTTTTTTATTGAGGTAACTTTATATGAGTTTCAAGTGTACAGTAATTGTACACTTTAAATGGATGAATTGTCTGGCATGTGAATTATATCTTAATAAAGATGTTTAAAAGAAATGAGTACATGTGCTACAACTGTAAAAACAAAAGAAAAATATTCTGCAGTCCCTCAGGAATTTAATCTCACTGCCTCAGCAGACGAAGATGTCTAAATAAACAACATGTATTATTATTTACCTAGCACTGAGAATTCTTTGTTCTGAAAGCATAATCTAAAAATAATTTTGAAGCTCAGGAATTTTAGTTGTTTTTCTTAATCTGTTTGGGAGCTCTAACAACATACCGCAGACCAGATAGCTTTTAAACAACACGTGTTTATTTCTCACATTTTTGGAGGTCACCACCATGACGTGTTCTAATGAAAGACTTCTTCCTGGTTCATAGCTGGCATTTCTCACTATATCCTCACGTGGTGGAGGAAGCTAGCAATCTTGCCCTGTCTTTTTGATAAGAGCAATAGTCCCATTCGTAAGGGCTACATCATCATTACCTACTTCCCACCTAAAGACCCCACCTTACTCCATCACACTAAGCATTAGTATTTCAACAGATGAATTTGGGGAGAACAGAAATATTCAGATCATAACATACTATGCAGAAGCTATTTCAAGTCTCTCTTTTTTCACAGATATCGTGAATTAAGGGAGTCTCTCAAACGATGTAGGCTTTCTTGGGGCACCGAAAGGGAATATGGCAGGATGATGCCTATTTCACTCCCTGAAGAGCACAGACCAAAATGTGAACCTCCTCCTGCCATGAGCAAAGGACATCAGCATTACGGATTTGGTGGAGAAAACTGGCCGAGGTAAATATGCTTTCTCCCCTCACATAGAAGTCTTCTTTTTTTTTTTAAAAAGATTTATTTTTATTTATTTATACAAGCACTGGGTACAGTCAGAAGCACGGGAGGGTGAGAGAATTCACCAGAGCCAGAGCAGGGAGCAGAGCAGGCAGAAGGACCGAAGTACACTGCTGAGGGGAGCAGCGGGCAGCAAAAGAGGTCTGCGCGCCACATGGGACCCTCCTCCGGTGGCTGGGGAGCAGCCGGGGATCGAACCAGCGCTGCAGAGGCTGTGGGCAGCTTTGCAACCCAGCGCTCAACCGCTGCGCCACTGAGGAGGCCCAACATAGAAGTCTTCATTCATTTTTCTTTATTTCTATTTGACTCTTTTGTTAAATCTACTTTCATATATATTTCTTTTGCTATTTATGAAAAGACACAGATGGAAAAACTAATTATATGACTTCTAATTGCAAAGTTAGTTAGAAATGTTTGTTTATGGATGTCTTTGCTGTCCTTAGATGTGTTCAAGTATTGTGATCAGAAATTTTGATCAGTTTAACTCTTTTGATGATCATGTTTTTATCCAAAACTAAATGGGAATATTCCTGAGAGAGGCTAAATTAATTTTTTTTTTCTTGAGCAAACAGCTGAACTCATTTGTACAGATGTTCTTGATTTTTGGAACTTTTGATTTCTAATTTGTTCATCAATCTCTTAGAATCTATTGAGTATTGTTTTCAGTGTTAAAATATTCAATAATCATATAAATCTTAAAGCACACTTGTATCTTTATTCAAAACAGTTTAAAACTAAAGAGAAAGCAAAAAACTGAGCAACAAATGAAATGGCACATAAATTATTAAAAATTATAAAATTTACTCAAAAGCATTGTTCAGAAACTAGGGGTATAGCTCATTAGGTAATTTACAGCTATTGTTTCCCAAATTTGTATATTAATAATGTCACAGTGTTCTAAAAGAATTGGAAGCACACTCACAGTTACAGTTTGTTTATTTTTTAAAAAAGGCAAAAGACTAGCTTCTAAAGGAAAACTCAGTCTGAAGTGAGAGGTTTGTGTGTGGTATTTATTTGAATGTAGCCCAAGGACACTGGAAGAGGAAATATTTATTCTGATTAGAAAGCAGGGGCCTCTCTGGTGGCACAGGGTTGAAGTCTCAGCACTATCAAGCTATCGCCAGCCACTTGGGCATGAGTTCGATCCCCGACAAGGGAGCTGACCCACATGGCGCAGCAGACCTCTCCTGTTTCACCTGCTGCTCCCCTCAGCAGTGTATTTCAGTAGATCCACCTGTCCTGCTCCCCACTCTGTCTCTAGTGAATCCTCTCACCTCCCACACCTCTGTCCTACACCCCAGTTCTTGTATGCATAAATTAAAAAAAAAATCTTTAAAAAAAAATTTACCCAAGGAGATTGCAGTAAAATAGTCAATCAAGCATAAAGGCACAGGCAAGCATTTGAAGCATGTGGGAATGTACAGTACGTAGCACCCAATAATGTTTTTTTAAAAAACCTAAAATATGAGATTTAAAAGCAAAATGAAGAATCAGAATCATAACTCAAGAACAGAGACACTAATAAAAAAGGTTGATGGTGAACACTGAATCCATTCAAATATGAAATCACTGAGCATTAAATGGTGAGCACTGAATCATTCACATGATTGAGAAAATTACTGTGGATCCAGGTAAAGTTAGAAGCTTTGGCAAAGTACAGCTTATCTACACAACCAAAATGTAGTAATGAGAAGAAGTGAATCAGAGATTATTGTTTTCTCTTTCATGCCTTATTTTAGACATTATTTATCTAATTTATTTATATATACTTAAGATATTATTATCTCAAAATAATAATGCCCGTAATATCTTAACTGTTCCAAAAACATGTTCTTAATTTTACACAGATATTTTATAAATGTATATTTATGTAGTGGAGATTTACCTTTAATTTTACTTTTTCATGTTAAATGCTAATTAAATTTTAAATGTTCTTTTATAAATTGCATGAATCTTTATTTCTTATGAGAGCTGCCGATCTCTCCATTCTTAACCTCCTTACATCTAGTTTTTAGCAAGCAAGATCTAGAATCTACTACATGGTGGTATTTCTATATACTTTTTGTAATTACTCAAACTTTTATAATGGGAATGTGCCGTTTCCATAAAAATAAGGAAACAATCTTTTTTAAACAACAGCATTAATCAAATACTTCTTCTGGCCACACATTATCCTGAGTGTTTTACAGACATTATCTCATTTAAATTAAATTACATTTGCCTTTTTTAAAGTTCATTTTTCTATAAAACTACTTTTGTCCTTTTTTAATTAAATTTTAATTTCACAATGTATTCATTGGTATGCCTTAGGATTTTTCATTGCAAATAAAACAATCTAACTTGGCTACTTTAAGAAGAGGATTTATGAGAGAATATTAAGTTAACTCACAAAACTATGGGAGGCTAGAGAAATAGGCTAATTCCTAAGCTTCAAGGAATAGTAGCCAAATTTATTCTCAGGACTGGGTCTCAGCAGGGGAAGTGTCTTTGCTAAAATTTACACCTCTGCTGCTACTTTATTAGTGCTATCAGACCCCACCTGAAGGCTATATTCTCAGCTTACTCAAGTTCAAGTCAAAGTCTACTGCAGATGTGGCTGACTGGCAGAACTTAGGGCACACATAGGAACCCAGTTATTAGGAAAGCCAGAGTGGATTTTCTGGGGCCCAAAAGTGGGCTATTCACAATGTAGGTAACTAGCAAAATGTAGAGAGGGTACTATAAAAACTCTAGCACATGCTCAGTGTCCGTCAACTGTCACTACAAGCAACAGCAGCAATAGCAACAACATGCTTTCCTATCCAATATGTGGCTCATGGACCAGCAGCAACATGGACCAACATGTGGTCCATGGGTCATCATCAAATAATGAATGCAAAATCTTAGACCCCATTCCAGCTTTACTAAAACAGAATCTGTGTTTGAGTCAAATCCAGATAATTATGCAGCAAAGTTTGATAACTGTTGTTCCAATGTAAGAAAATGCAACACTTTAGAAACTAACAAGAATTTACTTACCCCAAGGGACCACCCTTCAGTTCCTGCATAGAACTTCAAGCCAGGATCTCCGGGTGATATGCACTTCTCTCTAGTTCAAGCATAGTCTTGTCCTGATAGTCCACATCTCTAAACTTGACTAAGTAAACCATCATGTTCATACCCTATAGGAAATAATAAGGAAAAGGAAAAAAAATCTCTATATGAAAGTATACAAGAAAAAGAAAATGTGGGATGTGACCACAGTCCTCACTTCCACAGCTTGATATAAGGATATTGTTGGCATTAAGATGTTCTTCCTCCACTACCCACTCCAAGATCTCTCGTCTTCAGCTAGTACCTGAGCTGGTTAAAAGTGCATTACCTGGTGGAGCAGCCCCAGATTCTGCTCTCCAGAGATCCTTTATGTTCCTGGCTGTGTGAAGCTATTACAGTATTCCATTAACTTTATCCCTTTAGGAATAATACTAGAATAGATTCTTCAAGCTCTAGTACTACTCCTTTCCCCTATCATTGTATAACAACAATCTTCTTGTCCTTGACATTCAGGATTAATCATCCCAGTCTACTTGGTAAAGTCCTTCCTTGCCTGTTTTCTCCAGAGTCATATGGAGCCCCAAAATGCCACATCATAAGTTCTGCCTCCAATTCAACAGCACCATTGTTGCATCCTCTAATGGAGGCATTTCTTCCTTTACCTATAAACAGGGATGGGAAAGCAAGTTTATGAAATCTACTCTGGGTCAAATGTATATAGGGTGAGTTTTCAAAAGATACTGGACAGCCACAAGGGACTGCTGAGCATGGCATTGTATAACAAAACTTTGCAAGTACCCAGAGGAATGTAAATTATGGACTTTAGGGGATAATGATGTGTCAGTGCAGGTCATCAGTTGTAACAGATATGGCACTCTGGTGGGGGAGGTTGATAATGGGGAAGGCTAAGCATGTCAGCAGTAAAAAATACCTGGGAATTCCACCTTCCTTTCAACTTTGCTGTGAACCTAAAACTGCTCTAAAATGACAGTCTATTTTAAAGCAATAAAAAATCAGGTCCAGTTTACTTTGATTACCACCATACCAATCCCAGTTACCTACCTAAAGGGACCTGTTGTCACCACTTTGGTGTGTCTCCTATCATACCTTTTGTTATAATCATACCCACATCCATTTGGCATTATTTTGTTTATGTGCAGAATCATTTGATACATAGTATTAGATGACTTCTTTTTCCTCTCTACAACCTAGAAATGGTGAACACAGATCTATCTCATTCTTTTCCACTTCTCATAGTGTTTCACCATATGGATGCATCATAGATTATATTTCCTTTTTTTTTTGCATTAACTACATGTAATGAATACCCATGTATAGGCATACTTGAGCTCATACATCCATGCCTAAATATCTCTTTAGACAAAATTTTAAGTGGAGGTCATGGATCACTATAAGTGAATATTTTTAATTTTAGGAGATATTGCCCAAATGCTTTATATTCTCATAGTAGTATCTAAAAACAGTATCTACTCATTTCCCCATAGTTTTGACCAACTGAAGTATAGTGTCAAACTGTATAAATTTTGCCTGTCTAATGATTAAAGGCTAGCTTAGTGATCAGAATACATTTCTCTAAATAGACTGAGTTTTCCTTATGCTTGTTTTTTTCTTTTTTTTTATACAGAATTTATTTATTTATTTATTATTTTTGCAGTACCATTGTTAGTGTTTTTGACAATATAGGATTACTCTCCCACTAAAGTGCAGTCACTGATAGTCCTACACCATAGTCCCCCAAAACATACACACATCTATGACCAGCTTTCAAAGGTTATTTTTAAAGTTTACCTTTGTCTAACCCTTTATTTGGTTTTTCTGTATTCCACCTATAAGTGACACCATCCAGTATTTATTTTCTCCTTCTGGTTTATTTTGCTTTTTTTCTTATATATGACTACTTACATATCTTTATCTGTTCTTATTCTTTGTCCAATTTTATTCTTTGTCTTTTAGCTATAGATTCTTCTTAAATCTTTATAGTCTGGATATTAATTAATCCTTTATATATCTTTATTGCAAATATTTCTTCCAATCTTTGTTTTAATTGTGCTTTTCTATGCTCCTAGCTTCAAAAGTTTTGCATTTGACGTTATCAAATTTCCCTTTGGTTTTTTTTTTTTTTTTTTTTTATAGAGGCATGTTTATTTATTTATCTGTTTGTTTGTTTGTTTTTTTTTGTTTATACATGCACTGGGTACAGTCAGAAGCGCGGGAGGGTGAGAGAATTCACCAGAGCCAGAGCGGGGAGCAGAGCAGGCAGAAGGACCGAAGTACACTGCTGAGGGGAGCAGCGGGCGGCAGGAGAGGTCTGCGCGCCATGCGGGACCCTCCTCCGTTGCCGGGGGAGCAGCCGGGGATCGAACCGGCGCCGCAGAGGCCGCGGGCAGGTTCGCAATCCAGCGCTCAACCGCTGCGCCACCGGGGAGGCCCTCCCTTTGGTTTTTGACCTTATTAAACAAATCTCATTTTGAATGTTTTCCCTACACAAGAAAAAAAAAAAACGCTTAATCTTGTATTTTTCTTGTAATATTTATGTTTTCCAGTTCCTTCAATTTTAATCCACCTGAAATATCTTTGTGAATAGACATAGAAATCTATTTTTTCTAAATGGCTAGTAAATTTTTCCTGTAGTGTTTATTGAAATTTTTTTTCTACTGATTTAAAAAGCCACCTTTTCATATACCGAATTTCCATATATCATATATACATGGTTTTTAGTCTATTTATCTTTAAATGCTTCACCATTATACTATGTAAAAAAATCTTCAATTTAATTTTTTTTCTTTTTAGAAAGCTTCCTGTTGAACAATTTTATTATTTGACACAGAACAAAAAAAGTGGCCTCTATGGAAATGATTCTTTGTAAGTTTTAGGTTTCTTTTCTTTATATCATTTTCCAGTAGAAATTAGTTATATGAGTAAATTTTTAAAACCCAAAATTGGAGCTTTTAGAAAAATAAAGTATCCCTTGTTTAAAACATAGATCATTAATAATAGAAACCAACATGACTAAAGAAACAACAGAAATAAAACAAATAAACCAAAACCCAATTATACAAGTGAAAACTGCGAAATGTGGAATAGTAATGTGTGAAGGAATTCATACAGGTCATTTGATCCATTTCTCTGCCTTTGACCTACTGAATCTAGGAATAACCTATAACATTTATTTACAGGTTCATAGAAAATGTTCCTGTACCATATACAAAAATTTTTAATCCAAATTTTATGAGAACAGTCCCTTTTTTAGATTAAAAATACTTGTTAATTTACCCTTTGTTAGAGGAATTATTTTGCTATTTATTAAATTATATTTTATTATTTCTAATATGTACTGTGAACATATTACAAAAGTTTACTTTTAAATTTTCAAATAAAAATAAAACAGCCTAAAAAAATGAAAATGTCACCTTTTTACTCTTATGATTAGTCTTAGGAATCCATTTATAGGTAAGACTTGAATATAGAGTTCAGCCACAAGAGGGAGCCAAAAAAACATGAAATTTGTGGTTGCTAGGTCCTATTTACCACTTTGGGATTAGTAAAGTTTGAAAAGTAAAGAGTGGTAGTAAAATAATGGACTGATCCAGGTCAAGGAATTAATGCTTCTGAACATTTTTTATTTTCACTTATATTTTTCAAACTCTGAATTTCTTAGAAATCTTTTCTTTTTTAAAAAAGTGTTTCTTTCCATTTTGAATCAAATCAATTTTAGGCATATACATGTCAGTTTCATAGCTAATTGTATTGATGTATGAGAAGTTGTTTAGATGCTGATTTTGTTTCATAAACAATAACCAATCTAGTAACTTTATATTCCTTTGATTCTTATACTAGTTGCCCACCCTCCCCAACTCAAGCAGAAATAGAGCTGGAAGACAATTCATGCTGTGTTCTAGTTCCAATCCCACAAACTTAAAGTCCAAATAAAGAAAGACATAAACCCTTTATAGTCCATATGAATTATGTGTTTGTAATTCACTATAGACTATTAAGATTATCGGGGTTATATACAACTTTCTGAATAGAAGAACAAAAATTAAACTGTGCTCACGCTCAATTTTATTGATCTTTACTATCAACAAGTAACATTCTTTTCATTTTTCATGCCTGAAATTATTCAGAAATATTTTCATATGCTGAAACTGGTTGTTGAAAATCAGTGTAAGTAGATGATAATCCCTCTCTAATGTGGATTTTATTCCTGGACTGCAGTATTATTTCCTGGCATGCAGAGCCCAGAAAAATTAATTAGCAAATTAACAATCTCAAAATGAATGGATTTAAAAAAGGAATGCCTCCAGGAATTTGTTCTGTTTTGTTCTAGCTTCTTCGTCAACTGTGCAACATTTACTATTATGAGAAAGATCAGCAATTCTGGGCAAAGGGACAAAGAACACACAGTTCTTATATATCTCCCAACCAGGCTACACTCAGGTCACTTTAGGTCATGTAATTGCACCACATGCATGTGTGACAAACTGCTCAGGGCCTTTTGGCTCCTACTTCACTATTAGGGCGGATGTCAGTGAGAAGCAGAGCTCCTATCTTTACAAGCACCAGTGCTATACCTGCACTGTGAATAAAACATGCAAAATGGGTGGTAAATGGCACTGAAGTCAATTGAATAAGCAGAATGGGAAATAATGATCAGTAGACAACTGAAATGTGATGGCATCTCTCTGTCTCATCAATATTCAATATCTCAGAAAGTAAATCAAGGATATCTTAAAGGGAAAAAAGTTTGGAAATGGGATACATTCTTAAGCAAGTGTTTAATAGGAGTGTAAGCTTTTAAAATTTCCTAATATAAATTGGGATTTGTTTCCTGTTTTTGTTCTAGGCTGCCCAAACCACCTAATTCAACAGTAGAGTAAGTATGCAACTTATATTTTCCTTCCCTGTTACAATGAAGGAAAAAAAATGCATTCCGTCTGCTGTAGATAGTGTGAGGACAAATGAGAATTTTCATTTAAAAAAAAATTGTTTAACAAGTAAAAGGAGAGACTGGCAGAAGTTCAAGGTAATGGTATTACTGATTTCCCCCCAAATATATCCCCTGCTGATCTTTTATAAAGTAAACTTTAATTACTGGGGAAATGGTACAGAATTCCTACAGATGCCACACCCAGTTTCCCCTATTAATATCTTACATGAGTATGGTTCATTTATCACAATTAATGAGTCAGTGTTGATATACTACACTTAACAAAAGATCATATTTTACTCAGATTTCCTCAGTTTTTCCTAATGTCCTTTTCCTGTTCCAGGATCCCATCCAGGATACATTACATTTGGTGGTCCTGTCTCCTTAGATTGCCTTTGGCTGTGACACTTTTTCAGTCTTTTTGTTTGTTTGTTTGTTTTTAATGATCTACACAGTTTTGAGAACTACTGGCCAGGTATTTTGTAAAATATCTCTGAATTGGGTTGTCTGTTATTTTTCTTATCATTACTGGGGCAATATGTCTCAATGAGGTAAACCACAAAGGTAAATTTCCATTTTCATCACATCCTGTCAAGAGTCCACATTACCAATATAACTTATCACTGTTGACTTTAGCCTTGATTACCTACTTGAGGTAGTGTTTATCAGGTTTAAACACTGCACGGTTAACCTTTTGTCTCTCCTTTCTATATTATATTCTTTAGGGGAAAGTAACTTGAACAGTTTACACTTAAGAAGTCTGGAATTATGTTCCACCTCCTTGAGGACAGAGTACCCACATAAATTATTGGGCATTCCTCTGCACGGGAGATTTGTCTATTCTCCAGCATTTATTTATTTCTTTATTCAATCAGTTATTTATAGCATATGAATTCAAGGATATTTATTTTGTACTTTGGAACATGATGAATAGCAGTAATCATGTGCTACATATTTTTGTTATTCAAATTGGTCATGGGGCATTCTTTTAATTGGCTCCTAAGTCCATACATCTATCATGTATGTAAGGCAATTTTCTCAAACTATGCAGGCTTACTTATTTTTTTAAAGATTAATTTATTCATGCATACAAGAACTGGGGTACAGGCCATAGGTGCAGGGGGTGAGAGGACTCACCAGAGACAGAGTGGGGAACAGAACAGGCAGATTGACTGAAATACACTGCTGAGGGGAGCAGCAGACGAGACAGGAGAGGTCAGCTGCACCATGTGGGTTGCTCCCTGGCCAGCCAGGGATGGAACTCGTGCTGCAGTGGCTATGGACAGCTTCACAGTGCTGTGCTTAACCCCTTGCGCCACCAGGGAGGGCCAGGCTTACTTATTTTTAAGCAGATTTGCAAGGGGAAATTAGTTCAAGGGGGTCAGTCTACTATAGAATCCACAGAATTGGACACTGAAATATTTTTTAGAGCAAATGAAATTCAGTGTGTAGTATATAAAATAAAGTACAGACAGTATTACACTTCATTGCAAGAGCAGTTACTACACTAATCTTTTCATAACTATAAGGGACTGGGTGAGTCAGGACACTCAGGAATACCCCAATTCTGGGTCTTCACATCATCACAGAATTGATAGATATCTTGCACCTGTACCATGCTGTGCACTGAATGATATGGCACTTTTTTAAGGAAAGTAAATAAATTTGAGAAGCAATTAGTAATAGCAATTAAAAAAAAGTTATATACCCAGTTCAGAAATGTGTTAGGTAAGAGTTTGTGACAAGGCAAGGAATAGGAATACCTTTACACAAAGAGCTGGCTTCATAAATGACTTTTCCCCAGGTTTTTCTCTTGCAAATCAATCTTAATTAATTATAATATCTACAGGAGATAACTAGGAATTTGCTGAGAATTTTGAACCTCTAGGTGTCTCAGAGAGCCCACAGATGCCAAAGCTGCTGAATTCAGTGCAAGTTTGCATCAGCATGCTGTGTACACAATAGGGGCCTAGATCTGGGGCTGGGCCCCCCAAGCATGTTAGTCACCAATTGGATGACACATTGAGATCTGGGTTTGAAATTAAAGCTTCATGATATAATTTAAGATACCTTAATAAAGTTGCCATTTTAGCTATTGATCCATGAAGCTATCTCTTCCTGATACCTTGATTTAGATGATACTGAGAATTTGTGGCAAAATGAACCAAAAATGCTAGGAATTGAAAAAGCCATAAAATGGAAAAGCAATGAGATATCTAAAAATATGTTCCTTATCCAAATTATCCTCACTATTTCATAGTCATACCATCCATAGTTACTAATAGAAATTATTATATAAAGTCTACAATATCTGGATAGAAAATAGTGAAAGGGAAAATTCTCTTAACAAGACCCTAACACTAAGCAGATACAAGACACTTTTCCAGTAGCTTCTGTAGATTACAATTTTTCGCACCATGAATGCAGCTCATCTTTTAAACTCTTTTGCTAATCTCCTGTAACAACAGCCCAGTGCCCCCATACTTGTGCACATTAGCATCTCACTGCTCAAATGTGCTCTATTAGATGGCTGAATCCTCCCTCGTTATATTTGCTGGGATGAGGGGTTGGGTGGGATTATTGTCTCACAGTTCTGGAGGCTAGAAGTGTTAGATCAAGGTTTTAGCAGAGTTGATTCCTTCTTAGAGAATCTCTTTGATGCCTCTTAACGTCTAGCAGTTTGCTGATAAACTTGGTGTTCCTTGGTTTGTAGATGCATCACCCATCCTCTGCCTTTATCATCGCATGGTATTCTTCCTGTGCGTGGCTGTATCTAAATATCTCTTTTTTATAAGGATACCAGTCACAATGGATTAGGGGGCCACCCTACTCCAGTGTGACCTCATCTTATGCAATTACATCTTCAACAACCCTGTTTGCAAATAATCACATTCTGAGGTTCTGTGTGTGTTAGGATTTCAACATGGGGTGGGAGAACATAATTCAACCATAACACTGGTCTTGCTTTTTTCTATGTAATTTTCTAATTATATATAACATTTACTGAGCCCATGAACTGCCTAATCTCAATTTTCTTCTAATTTAGATAGCTTTCACGGTTTTTTAAAAACCTCTGCCAGTTATTTAAATGATAGGATAATTATCTCTGTAGTATTTTTAACATGTCTTCTTTTACCTTCTGTATGCTAGCTGTTTTTGGCTTTTGAATTTCTAAACAGTATTATGTATATAAACAGGCAGTATACTTTGTTGAGTGATTGCTTAAAGAAACAGAGCCTGAGTTGAAAGTCCAATCCAAGATGGTTAGAGATCACAGCATACAGAAGCTGAATGCCCAAAATTATGCCAAAAAATAAAGTACTGGAGTCCACTTAAAACAGGAGGCAGGAATAGAAAGCAACTAGAAATTCTTCCAGTAGCATTCAAAAACTATGAAACTCATATATCTTCTGTTTCATATTGTATCAGTTAAGAAATTTATCCACTGTTAAGGATTTGGTGGGATTCACTTTTAAAAATTAACGTATTTGTATTTATTTAGCAAAATGAAGAAAATACCATTTTGGGGTTTTTTTGGGGGGGAGGGCATATGTTTCACCCAAATACTAACTCCAAGAACACAGAAATTTTGGTTCACTGTCATATCCCCAGGGAGTAGAACAGTACCTGCCACAAAAAAGGGTCCCAATAAATATTTGATGGTTGATGTTTTTAATTGTACTTCCTTCTATTCTCTTTTGCTTTGTGTTGTGTGTGTGTTTCGTTTTGTTTGCTCAACTAACAGAGAAATATGTTCCCTGTATCCAATTGAACACCCCTATCACACACACATCTCCCGTGGTGCCATGTTCCCGACCTTCACATCACCTAAGGAGCTGTACACTGGCATTAAAGCCCGAAGCCATCAGCCATTTCCTCCCACTGTGCCAACAAAGGCTTATGATACAACGGTTTTGAAGACAAGAGGTAAACCATGATTTGAAATCAGAACAGTATTAATTCTTCTATTTGGGGCTTATTTGATAATAAAGTAGTGCAAAGGATTCAGGTCACAAAAATGTGACCCATCAGTGGATTAGGAAAGTTATTCTCAGCTCTGGGTTGCACTTTGAAGCCACCTGGGACCCCACCCCAGACCCAGTGAGTCAGAGTTTCTTCACAATTCAGGCAGATGCGCTTAACTTTTATTCTTTATACAGAACCCCCACAATAGAATCAGAAACCTAGCATTATGGAAGTGTTTTCAGTCTATTTGTATTTTCTATTTGTATTTTCTACTAGTATTTTCTATTTTAACTGCCCTCCTGCTCCCTCTTATGGTTAGCTTTTGAAAATTCCATCCTAGCTTAGGCGATCAGCGTAAGGGACAATGCTGGGTTCAGAGCATCAGAGTCTGGGTGTGGGTTAGCAGTTGTGATGAAACTAGAAGATTATCATTGAAGTAAGACTCAGAAATAATGGGAGCCATTTGTTCAGGTCCTCCTAACACCTTGGAGCACCATCTCAAAGATGTAAACCTTGGGATCTTCCCAGTTGTGTTTTATTAGAGAGGATGGTAAGCCCATAAGCTAGTCATCAAGTTTCTCCCACTCTAGACACCTCAAAACAGAGACGAAACCCATAAATATTGAAGTTACTAGACATAAGGTAACCTAAGGTGACAGATAAGGTACAAGGTAGGCAGAGATAAATACTTGTTGCATGAATTTAGGCTGAATTAAGACCCAAGAACTGTCCCACAATGCAGTTCCTCTGTACATGAATATTTGCACCCAAATGTAACAGTGGAATACTGCCATCATTAATATCCACCTAAGTATATAGACAGTAAAGTGAACTTATCATAGGTCCACAGGAAGCCACGGTGTGTTTGATAAAGCTTATCAAACTTCCACAATACCTAAGAACTTGTATTCTTTAAAATGTTCTCTTTTTATTACCTCTTTGGTAAGCAAGTACTAACTCCATTTCCTGGCCCTAGGAAGGGAAACCCAAAACAGGTAGTAGAGAAATGCATTTGCTGAGCCTTCAGAAACCATAGAGAGAATCGAGGAAGATTTCTAATTTACCTAAAAATTCCTTTCATTAGCAAGAAAGGTGCAGTACTAATGCCTTCTTCTACAGCTGCTATTAGGGGTAGAGACTAGACACATTCTCACTCTGTGTGGCCCACATGCTGCTCGTTTATGGGACAAGAATTCAAACAAAGCTAAAACTATATAACTAAAATGTGTACATGCATTATTTGCTACCTCCTATTATCTTGGTTCTACTTATTGTACTGATAAAATGAAATAATTAGGAGACTATTGTTGCATATCCAGGATCACAGTGTTTTTCCTGAAATTTTCAGGTAACCCTTACAGATATGAACTGCTTGATTTTCCCATGGACTCAAAGAAGAGAGCCTTGACTTGGCCAGGTCAGGGTGTCTATTATGACGTAAGTATCTCTGAAAATGTATGTTTAAAACAAAGTAAAAACATTTTGATTCTGTAATTTATAAAAGTCTAAATATGGATTGCTTTTATTTTATATCTGGATGAAACTTTTGAAATTTTGACCATGATTCACATTTTCTGTTTTCTTAGCTGATTTTATATACACTTGGCAATTATGTAACATTTCCAATAAGGCAACCCCCGCAAAAAGGTGAAGAACTGTATCCCAACTTTTTTTATTGGTGAATTTTTATTGAGATAAAATTGGTATACAACATATAAGTTTCACGTGTATAGAATTATAATTTGTCATCCCTGTATACATTATGCTTGCCATCAAAAAATCTAGTTTTCACCCCCCACCATATAGTTGACCCATTTACCCATTTTCCCCCAACTCCCTTGCCTTCTGGTAACCTCTAGTCTGTCCTCTGTATCTAAGATTTTGTTTGTTCATTTGCTTTGTTTCTTTATCTTACACATGTGAGTGAAATTATACAGTGTTTGTCTTTCTCCTTCTGACATATTTCACTGAGCCCAACTCTTATTCCTTTGACTCATTATATATCCATCAACTCCAAATATGCATAATCAATGGGAGATTTTCAGAAAGATTTGCAATTTATTATCTCCACTATTATATCTGTGTACAATCAAAAATAAAATCAAGCAGTAGCCACCATTTATTGACAAGTTGCTACACTCTAACCACTTTGGAAATAATATGTCATTTGCCTGCTACAGCTATCTCAAAAGGCTAGTATCATCATTCACATTTTAAAGATAAGAAAACTGAGGCTCAAAGAGTTAGTGACTGACTCATAATCAGAGAATTCAGGCTTGTGTGACTCCAATCTCTGCTCCTAACCACATACTAGGACTTCACATGGGAAAAAGGAAAAATTCTAAGTCATGAAGGAAAATACCTAGACATTTGAAAATAATAATATTTGGCTTTAATTGGCCAATCAGTTTCTGAGAAGTACTGCCAAGAGATTATGGAAATATGATGTTTATTATAGAATAAACAGTATTCTCTCCTTGCCTTTATCAGTCTCTGAAGTAGGCAAGAAATAATTATGGAAGATTGGAAATATCTGAATTTTGCTGGGGAGGAACCACTGTGGTAGACCAGAGTTTAGACATTGCAATGAGCTAGGCAATTTCCTGTTTTTTCTTTGTAAAGTTATTTCAAGAAAAAGCCTTGGCCTAATCACCATCTCTCTCCTCCTGCTGTACCTGATGCCCATAGGAGGAAGAGAGGGGACACAATAACTTGAAAAAGTAGTTCCAAAAATGTGTCTCCTAGCTATACAAGAGAAATCTCCAGGCACCACATTTTATTATCTTCCATTCATTTTTTTATACATAGAAGTATGTTAAAGATATCGGTAAAGAGTGTAAATTTATTTTAAAGTGGTTCAGCTCCTGGCTCTAAACATATCAGCTTTCTGACCCTAGTAATACACTTAACCTTTCAGTAAGTACCTCAATTTCCTCATAGATAAAACAGGAATAAAAATAATACAACGCAATAGAGTTGTACTGTGACTGAAATGCATATAAAAGCACTCAGCACCATGGTGGCAAACAACAGGCTCCTAATAAATGTTCACTTGTGTCAATATTATTATTCCAATGATGAAAGCACTTTGCTGACATAGCAATAAGAAATGGGTAGACTTATTCAAACTATACTACAAAGCCATAATCATCAAAGCTGCATGGTACTGGAACAAGAACAGACACCCAGACCAATGGAATAGAATAGAAAATCCAGAAATAAACCCACAGATTTATGGTCAACTAATCTTTGACAAAGGAGCAAAGACTATGCATTGGAGCAAAGAAAGTTTGTTCAATAAATGGTGCTGGGAAAACTGGGTCGCTACATGCAAAAGAATGAAGCTTGACCACTATCTCACACCATACACAAAAATCAACTCAAAATGGATTAAAGAACTAGACATAAGACCTGAAACCATAAAATGCATAGAAGGAAATATAGGCAAAACACTAGGTGATATGCACATCAAAGACATCTTTACAGACACATCACCCAAAGCAGTGATAGTGAAGGCAAAGATAAACAGCTGGGACTACATCAAATTAAAGAGCTTCTGCACAGCAAAAGAGACAATAACAAAAACAAAGAGTAACCCCACCAACTGGGAGAACATTTTTGCACCCAACACTAATGATAAAGGATTGATCACAAAAATCTGCAAAGAGCTGAGGAGACTCAACAAGAAAATAATCCTGTCAAAAAATGGGCAGAAGAGCTAAAAAGAAACTTCTCTGAAGAGGAAATGCAAATGGCCAACAGGCATATGAAAAAATGTTCAACATCACTTGTCATCAGGGAAATGCAAATCAAAACTACCATGAGGTACCATCTGACACCAGTGAGAATGGCACATATTAAAAAAACTAGCAACAACAAATGTTGTTGAGGATGTGGAGAAAAAGGAACTCTCCTGCACTGTTGGTGGGAGTGCAAACTGGTCTAACCACTATGGAGAGCTGTGTGGAGATTTCTGGACCTTCTAAACATAGAGCTTCCATATGATCCAGCAATTCCACTCCTAGGTATTTACCCAAAGGACACAGAAACATCAATTCCAAAGAGCACCTGCACCCCTGTGTTTATAGCAGCACTGTTTACAATAGCTAAGCTTTGTAAACAACCCAAATGCCCAAAAATAGATGACTGGATCAGAAGATGTGGTACATATACACCATGGAATATTACTCAGCATTCAAAAAAGATAAACACATGCAATTTGCAGCAACATGGATGGTGCTGGAAGGGATCATGCTCAGCGAAATAAGCCAGAAAGAAAAAGAAAAATACCGGATGGTCTCACTCATAGCAGGAATCTAGAAAACTTAAATAAGGGACCAGGAAAATGAATAACTATATGAAAGTGAAAATCAAAATCAACAAAAAACTATGACCCAGAGACACTCTATGGGGGCGGGGGGCAGAGAGGGGAGGGATTGGGGTCAAAATAAGGGGGTTGCAATTGTATGGGGAATATAAAAATAAAATTTATTTTTAAAAAAATGGGTAGTCTTGGATAGGAGAATATTCTATAAAAAGGGTTTATGACCTTTTATAAATTAAGATTGGGACTTAACAGTCTTTCAAATGTCATTTTGCCTTTGTCCTTTCACATCACATGTACTGAAAACCTGTGCCTTCAAGACCCATAGAAATAGGGACCTATTGGGCCTCCCCTGGTGGTACAGCAGTTGAGCGCTGGGTTGCAAGGCTGCCTGCAGCTTCTGCAGCACCAGTTCTATCCCCGGCCACCGGTGAGGGTCCCACAAAAAAAAAAAAAAAATGAAATAGGGACCTCTCTTCCATTCAGGCCCCTATCTTTTGTTTCCTTGGCCTGGCCCAGTTTTCCCACCAGAGTTTGCTCTTGACAAGGGCTCTCCCGCTGCTACTCTCTTCTGTTGCCATTGCTATTCACCAATTACTTCCAGCCATTGCCCAGTCAGTTTAGATCATTCTTTTTCCTTTTATAACTTACAAAGTAAAAAGGTTCTATTATTTGACTCTTATGGGGTTATTTTTGTCATTCCTTGCTCAGGTAGCCAAAAACTTTTGTCCTTTGTGTTTCTCAAGAATTCAAGCATCTCGTCTTACCTTCTGCAATATAAAAACACTTTTTAGGATACAATCTACTTTGTAATCATCTTTTGAGTAAGATAAGATAGAATCATAGCAGTCAAGTGCCACAAACCTCCCTAGTCTTGGACTATTTGAAATATTTGAACAAATTACTTTTAAATCCTAACTGAGCCTACCACCAAAGTTTCCTTCTCTCTCAATGTTTGGAAAGACACTAGGCTTCCCTGGAAAGAGCACTCACTTATATCATCCATACAAGGAAATGCAGTTTTCCTTCTAGAACTATCTGGCATCTTTCCAGTCCAGTGTGCCCATGCTTCTCCTAGAGACATTCCTCACTCCTAGGACAGTTCTGCCTCTCCACAATAGATCCTATAATCCACACACATCCTCAGATAACAGTAATGAATTGGGTGAGTGCCAAGCACCTCCTTTAGAAATGTGTCATCTTATCAAATAACCAGCTGCACACAGCACTGTCCATCACCACCGCCACCCTGAGCCACACCCCCACCTGCCCATCCCCAGCAACAACAAGGGTGTTCAGAATGAGAACTGGCACGCACTCTTTCCTGCCACATTGGCTCCCCACTTACTGTCTTGCCATCTCTACTTTTCTGCCCTCTGTCCCCGGATGCCCTTTTTCCCCCCTATTGTGTATCTCTTCTCCCTTCTGCTCTGTTCCAAAGTCCTAACTAGATACCAAACAAAAAAATAAAAAACCCTTATAGCAGTTAAGTGCCACAAACATCCCTAGTCTTGGACTATTTGAAATATTTGAACAAATATTTAATCTCTGTTAATCCCTTATTTGTTCACAAATTCAAAACAACTAACATCATTCCTTTGTAGACTAGAGTGTCTGCCTAGATACAAACATCTCAGCAACTGAAATTCCTTCCTATTTTATACTTACCTCCACATCCAATATAGAATTTGCCCTGTGAATAGTATACGTAAGCCATAAGCACCTATTAAGTGAATGAGCTCCAGAAGCCCTCTCTCATTATCCTCAGAATAACATCACCTTAAGTAATTGCTGAAAACTTGCCCAATCTCCATTGGCAAATGTTTCCTGATTTTTAATTCTTCCCAAGATACCACAGGCTACAGCAAAATTTCACATTCCCTATTTTGTGTGCTTTTGACTGCAGTTTAGTAGATCATTCTGTTGGCTAAACCAGAGTAAAGCACAAGACTAATCCCGCCCCTCAGAACAATATTTGTAAAAAGTCCTTGTTTTCTAAATAAGCTGGCTTTGTAAATCATAACAGAGAAGAACCAAAAAACAGCTTTCTTTACCCTGAATAAACAAGCCACATATTTATTAAAGATTTATAGAGGTGGTTATTTTAGACTTCCTGAGACAGTTATTTTCCCAAGCATCTTTTACTGTGGCTATTCTATAGATGTAAAATGGGGCTTACTCCAACCCCACAGGCTTGCCTTGAGCAGCAACTTTAGAAGACCCAACTTAACAGAGCCAGCTCTGGTCTTCCTCTGACTGTGCCAGGAAGTTTACAGGGACTTCACTGGAGCCCATGTTCCCCAGTCTTCCTGCCCCAGACTGATACTGGGCTGCAGAATTCCCTGACAAAATAGCTTTGAACCCAGTTCCAAGGCTTTCGTGGAGTCTCTCCCTCAGGTCCTTCCTCTCAGGGGTTGACAGTGCTGACAAGCTCATAGAAAATTCTAGGCCAGAGAAGTGGCCAATAGATGACTATTTGCCCAAAGTAGAGGTAATATGTAATAGAGTCTTGAATTTCAGGATTAGGTTACCCTCACAGGCAAGGCACCTCAGAGTTTGAGGTGGAACTGGGGTTAAGAAAAGAGCAGTAAGGGGTGCTGAAGACAGGGGCCAGTGGCTGCCTCTTTCTGAACCCCATGCCCCAGAGCAGAACTTGGGATAGTCTAAAAAGTCTAAATTGGATCTGGTCCTCCAGATTGTTGTGAATGCATTTTGTTAAGGTAAGAGAATGGAACATATTTTATTTATTTAAGTTTATTTGCTTGGTTTACAAATCAAACTAGTTAATTAATAGAATGTGGGCTCTCATCATCCTCTAGACCGGGTCCTAGAGACATTAAGGGTAAGTCTGACTAAGAGAGCAACAAGTGCATGTTCAAGAAATATTAATTCCATATTTTCTACCACTATCCATGTCTTTGCTACTGTTGTTCCTTTGCCCACCCCCCATCGATGCATCTCATTCAAGCCCTACTTTCTCTTCTCTGCTCCTGGCCCCACTCCCTTGCTCAACTAGAATCAATCTCTGCCTCCTCTGAGCTTTGTCTTAACTCCTTTTATAGCAAAGAGTGACTTCTCATCTTATAATCATTTGTGTTCATTCACTCCTTATTTCCCCTTCTAACCAACACACTTCTGGATGGCAAGATTTGTTTGTGATCCATCACTGTTTCTTGCTACTACCTTCACATATGGTGCTCAGAAAATATTTATTCAATGTTATCACTCTGAGAAAAAAAATGAAATATAAAGATAAAGACTACAATGAAATACATCCACTCAATCACTTTTACATGTATACTTCTTTAAGCAGTGATGGCTACTATGAAAAATTTTATTTGAATATGAATGACTTAACTATCATCAGAAATTCATAAAATGGCGTCATTTTAGGTAGGGAAGACAAAGTGGGAGGCACACAGTTTTGTCTAAACTTAGTCAAAGGAGCACTTAAAGTTATTTGTATTTCTAACAAAATGTCTCTGGAGGTAAAGAGTATAGCCAGGAACAGCGTTCCAATGGACATTATCAGAGTCTTTGCTCAAGCTAAAGACTTTTAGAAGAGATCTCACCATTCCTTTTAAAATATTATGTTTAACTCCAAATACAGTAACAGTTATAGAATATTAGCAATTAATGAAGGAAAAAACAGTATCTGACTTCAGCCAGAATTTCCTTTGCCCTGCTTCCTGCTGAGTGAATTAACCCTTATTCTACTATATGACATTAATATCAATTTTTTATATTTATATTCTAGTTCCCTAAATATGTTGGGAAAAACAAGCCAGTTTTCTACCCCAAGCCTCCTAAAACCTTCGCGCCTAACACTTCTTTAAATTCGTGGGACCCTGTTAACTCTCTAAAAGAAGCCAACATACAAAGAAATCTTGAGAGGTCCCACTGGATCACTTCATACAATAATGACTTTACAGGTATGAGTGCATTTTATGCAATTAAAAAAAATTGGAATATTTGCAAGTGCTATTGTTAACTTTCATCTTCTAATATTTTCCCTGTTTCTTAATGAAAGTACAAATAGAAATTAAGGTGAGTAGTTAAGTTTCTCTAAGCAAGTATCTGAGAAGTGAAGTTGGCTTTCATTTTATTGGTTCTAACTAAATTATAAAGGTTAGTTTTTCTAACCTTTAAATGGTTAAGTTTTTCTATACAAAGTCATTTAAGTACCATTCTTCATTTACTCTAACAAATAATATGCTGTTATGTTTCTGTTAAGGTCACGGGCCCATGAATCCTCTTGAACTGGATGATTACCATGAAAAGGAGGTAGCAGAGCTAACTGGACAGATAGGATTTGACCCAGAGCCTGTGAGTAGTTACAGTCAGCTCTCAGTTATTTAGGAACACAGTATCCAGGTGTTGACCTCCTTGCTTTGCCCACTTTTTATTTGCTTCATGAATACTGATGACCAACAAGCAAAAGGAAAATTTAACTCATTTTAAAAAGTTAATTATGAATTGATTTGACCTGGTTTGAATATGTTTATCCATTATTTGGGGAGAAAAAAAAAAAGCAAGGTTTTTCTCTACACAGTGCTAGAGTTTTTTTTAAATGGATTTTCTATTATGCTGCTGTTGCTAAAATTTAGGAAGGTATTGGTTTACAAATGCATTAAGAATCTCATTAAGTTAATGAATCTCATTAATGAGATTCCTAATTAATTCTGTGAATTTTTTTGCATAATTGTATATCCTGTACATTTTCACTACTTTTTGAAAAGAAAAAAAGCCTCTTCCTGATATCCACAATAATTGAGAATTGGCCAAATTATAATCAAAAGCCAATAAATTCTCTGCAAATATCAAGAATTTTTTTTCTCATCACCATCCATTATACTCCTTTAACACTTTTGCCCTTCCCCCTCCCTCAATAGAGATTTCTTAACTAATTATATTAAATGGCCTTTTAAATAATTAAGCCATGTGGTAATAAAAATCATAATCTGCAGCCTTAATTATGTAATGATCTAGCAGTAGTAAAATTATGAAAAACAACCTAGTAGTATACATTTACATTGTTTCATTTGGGACCTAAATTTTGTCCTCTAAAATTGCAAAGTTGGTAAGACAACATTAATTTTTTCAAAATGCAAACTGTGGAAACACATAAAAACTGTAAGATATTTTAATTTAAATTCTTTAAACTAAACACATTTATTTTATAGTAGTTGCAGTATTTCCCAAAGCAACAGAAAATTGTAACACAAATAGTTCCAGAGACTGCTTTATCACTTAGAGGGGTTTTTAGTTTTATTTTTCACTGCAGCAAGCATTCTCTAAAGCCAGACAGGACTATCCACTACTCCAACACTGTCAGGTGCTTCAGCAACTATCAGGATTTTCACATATTTGATCCTGTAGAGTCTGGCTCTCAGGAAGCAGCTTGATCTTTCTTACAAATTAATACATGTACAGTTATACAAAGGATGCTTGTCAAGTATATTATATGTAAAACTATGATTCAAGTAAATCAACACCTAAATTTTTATTAATAATGGAATAATATGCCTAAAGCAGTTGAGACTTCTTTTAAAAAGTTTAAATGAATCTTGCTCTTTCTAACTCAAATAATGAACTCTGGGAAGGCATATAAAATATTTTATAGTAGTAAAATAAAATAGCTACAAAAAGCTGCTGCTTGTATAAGGGCAGGATAGAGAATACAGTACACCCTATCTTTTTTGTATGTGACAAATTTAACAAAGCAGTTCAAGGAGCTGGGGGTGGTTTCATAGCATTTACCCAAACCTGATTAGTTAAGGGTTTAACTAAGTTAAACACATTTTCTAAAGCAATATGGAAATTCCTACGACTATGAGCCATTAGCTTCTAAAAGGATGTTCCTAAATCCATTTTGTTTTGTAAGTCTATAGTTATTATTTCTCACCATTCTCATTTTTATAATCTCTGCTATCAATTCCATCACTCTTTTTTAGTTTTTTTCTTCAACGTATTAGTATAAAAATTTTCAAACATACAGAGAAGTTAACACCTATGCAGTTCTCACCTAGATTCTACCATTAGCATTTTACAGTACTTATTTTATCCCATGAAATATCCATCTTTCCACCCTCCAACCATCCATCAATACGCTTTATTATTTTTATGCATTTTGAAGTAAATTTCAAGCATTCGTATACTCCTCCCCTAAACACTCAGTATGGGTATCATTAACCAAAGTTCAATTTAACTGCAGTTTTTTCTTTTAAGGTAAAATATACATTCAGTGACATTGCACAAATCATAAGTGAGTTTTGACAAACACATACACCTTTGAAATCCAAATATTCAAATCCCTATCAACATATGGAACATTGCCATCATCTCAAAAAGTTCCCTCACTCCGCTTGCCAGTCAACTCCTTCCTACACATATAATGTATATGTTATATATGTAAATTTATATAATATATAATATATAAATAACCCTTTGACTAAACTCACTATTTTTGTAGTTACCAGACATTATTGAGTCCACAATATTTACAAAATATCTCAAAAAGCAGCACAACCCATGCCAGACTGCCCTCAAACCAATGCTTCTCTAAGCACAGAACATCACTGGCCTCAGCATCACTCAAGATGTTTTTTAAAAAGCGAATTCCTGAGTCCCCCACAGATCTTCTGCATCACAACCTCTAGAATCAAGCTTAGGAATCTTATTTTCTGCCAGCTCCAACGCTGATGATGGTCAATCAGAGTTTAAGAACACTTGCCTTGGTATAATAAAGACTTTGGCTGAGATTTAAATAACTGCACATAACTGTTAGTATCATCTGTTGGTGGTGGGCAGCATTTTTGTTCCAATGATTCTTTTACATATATGAAAGTTAGATAGCAATGAGTTCCTACATAGAGGAATTTCTCTACAGCCAAATGAAAATATGTCCTTTCCATATCAGCGGAAAGCAGTGGGGGGTAAAAAATCATGTGTTTGGTATGACCCATATTTCAAGATCTTTAAATAAGCATCAACAAGTATTGCAATGTGCACTCCTATATGCATCCTCTGTCTATTCAAACAGTGAAAATAAGTCTGACTTTTGACCTACCATCTGTGGCAATACCCTGACAATGCTAGATGTACTAACTAATTGATTTTCTCCTTTTTATCTCCTGGCTACAGCAAGAAAAATTCCATCCTATCTTAAAACCACCCAGACCCTTGGAAGGACGAATTGCCCGATTAATTCAGAACCGACGTCCTCTGCAGGCTACTCTCCAGCAAAAAACACCTTCTTGTCCAGATTGTACCCCTAGAGTTTTGTGTAATTTTCATACCTTTTTACCCAGTTCTACAGAAATGATGGCACTTAAAGATAACACACTGGCGGGTGTGATCGATAAAAACCAGGCAATGGAAGACAAGATTAAGGAAGACCAACACTTGCTGTCTACCTATGCACTCCCATCTTCTTATGAAACAAAAGATCTGACTAACACTTATGATATAAAATCATTTCCAAAAATCACAGACACTAAAAAGACAGAAGATTTGTACTGGAGACAGCTGTCACCAAAATCCCAACCTATAACGTACTGTAACCTAAACCATTACCTCCATTATGACCAACTTAAAACTAGCGCACATGATCCGTATGCTATATGTCAAAACCCTGTTAGACTTAGTAAGCCTAGTATTTTACAAAATAAACCAGTCTCAGAAGCTTTGGACTTAGAACACTTTTTAAATGAACCAGAAGAACGACTGACCTTGAACATGGAAAACAATGAAGAAACAAGATCTATTCTGGATTGGATTCCTAGAGGTGGAGTGACCAAGCCACAGACTGACCTACTGGAGCTTAAGAACTCTTTTTCAAAAACCGGTGCACAAAAGCAGTTCTACAAATCAATTCTAGAAGACCATAAAGATCTCAGGGATAAGGATGATTCAGGGATGAAACACCAATTCTATGGCTATAATTCCTATTATTTCTATCACTGAGACAATCATCCTTCCCTTCAAAACCCAGCCTCTTGCAAGAAAAAATATAACAGAATTTCTTCCTTGTTGCTGGATTCTCTTTTCTAGTATGACCTTGTTTCTACAATGGCCTTGTTAATGAGGTTTATGTTTTTGGGAATTTAAGTTAAGATATGCTCAGTCAGAGAAATCAGAAAAGGTGGTGATCTGACTTCTGGAAAAGATTAACAATTTGGCAATAAAATACTAGTACCAGAAAAATGTATAGTCTTTAATCCCATTGTCTAGTTATACGCTAAGTAAATTTTCTGAAATCATGAGAAACAAAATGTAAGACAAATTTTAAATCACTGAGGAAAGGTTGAAAACACTCTGCATGTATGCGGACCCATGCAGTTAAAAATCATGTGTTGTTCAAGGGTCAAATTGGGGTAAAAAAACAATAATTGGTGAATGTCTATCCAAACTACTAAATAAAAATACATATGTGAACACTGTCATTTTATATAAATGTATGTACAAAATAGTTTCAGGTACAAAAGACAAAACTCAAAAGTCCAGTTAATTAAGGGGTGGACAGCTCTATGAGCTATTTCCCTTCATAAAGTAATATGTGGGCCCTGTTCCTTTATGTAAATATGTAGACAAATCACTAAAAAGACTAAAATCCAAAATGTTCTACATGCAAGCATTCTACACTGTAACCAAGCAAAAAAAATGAAAGTCTTTTTTTATGCAGATATTTCTTGCAATGACTTTAATTAGTAACTGGTGAGTTCTGATTGTGGCAAGAAAGGATGGTGTCTTCATCCATCTGGGCTTCTATAACAACAACAACAAAAACAAAACACTTATTTCTCCCAGTTTTGAGGCTGGAAAATCCAAGGTCCTGGTGCCTACAGATTTGGTGTCTGGTAGGTTATGCTACCTACACACAGCCCCTTCTCACTGTGACCGCTCATGAGGAAGAGGCAAGAGTTCTCTCTAGGACCTCTTTTATCAGGGCGTGAATCCCATTCATGAGGGCTCTGCCTTCATGTCTTAATCACCTCCCAAAGGCCCACCTCTTAGTAACTTTGGGTGTTAGGATTTTAACACATCAAATTAATGAGACTAAAGCAGGTATCTTGGTATCAATTATTCTAAAGCCCAATACAGTTTTTTGCAAATGCCACAAAGAGTTTAGTCAAATATGAAAAGCAAGACTACTCAATTAATGTACCAAGAGGTACATTTATACATAGTTTACCAAGGGAAATTCATGAAGAATTGCTATGAGTGTTGAGATTTCTTTTAATTTTTGTTCCATAACATGTCATTTGGGCACATCCTCTTTTAAAACTACTCTGGACAAAAATTAGGGAAAGTTTTTCCAAACTCTATTCTGGAACACTAGTTACAATAGGTCTTACAGGAGGCAAAAAGTTACATGGAAAAATACATTGAAGAAAACTGAGGGCAATAGTCAATCACCTGACTTAATCACAGCATTCATAATAACCTTTAATATGTAACATATTTGAAAGTGTCACTAAAAAGCACATCATCAGCCTAGAATTCCACAGTACAAACTTAGGAAGATGCAGTCCTCTAGTATAGGAATTTGGGGTTTTACTCCTGCAATTTCTTCTGGGTTGCAGAGCACAAAACTATATTCTGATTATGGGAATTCACTCCACCCACATATTGCTGAGTGGGTACCTTCTAAAACAGGGGAACTCAATATTTGTATCAATTAGGGTCCCATGAGGAAACAGATGTGCAGCCAATGTCACTGAAGGGAGTTCAGGAATGGACTGTTTTAAAAAGACACAGGCAGTGTTAAGGGAAGCTCCAATAGTGAGGCACCCAGGGAACTAGCAATGGCAAGAAGCCTTACCACTTGCAACCCTAAGGAAAGGGAAGGACCAGCTTTCTATGGCCTCCACAGGAAAGCCAACCAGAAGCCAGAGAGCAAGAGGGCACAAGTGATAAGGCAAAGACAAATGGAAAATGAATGTAGACAGGCAAGAAGGGCATAAGGTGAGATCTTATAAATACCTGTTTCTCAGTCTGAGAGGAAGAGCTTTCTTCCCCACCAGGCTACCAGCAAACTGACAGACATCAACTGTCCAGGAGAGAGAGTTTCCCTACTAAGCTTGAACCAGGGCAAACTCTCCCTCTTTCAGCTCTGATAATGTTAAACAGAGTCCTTTCTTTCTCTACTCAGGTCACATTTTTTCACATTTTTGTCTCTTTTGTTGGTGATTTTGCTGTTTAAAATGGCTCCGAAGCGTAGAGCTGATGTGCTGTCTACTGTGTTCCTAAGTGCAAGAGGGCTGTGACGTGCTACAGAGAAAATGTTTGTTAGATGTGCTTCATTCAGGCATGATCTCATAGACTTGACACTAAAAAATATGATTCATAGTAGAAAAAATGATAAATTGAAACCATCAGAATTACAAACTTTTGCCATGTGAAAGAACCTACTAGGAGGATGAGAGCTACACTGTAAACTGGTAGGAAATGTTTCACAGACCACATACTTAACAAGGTCTAATATCTAAACTATATAAACAACTTTAAAAATTCAACAGTAAAGTAATAATCCAATTAGAAATGGGCACAAGACATTAAAAAAAATTCTCCAAAGAGAATATGCAGATGGCAGCACAAAAGATGATGTTCAAAAGATTGGCATTGTAAAGCCACAATGAGTTATCATTTCACACCTATCAGACTGGTTAAAATAAATAGTGAAAACAACAGATGCTGTGGCAATGTGGAGGAACTACGTCACTCACATATTGCTAGCACACTCTGGAAAAGTTTGGCAGTTTCCTAAAAACTAAGCATGCAACTTACATATAATCAAAAATGGCACTCCTGAACAGTTACACCAAAGAAATGAAAGACATATGTTCACACTAAAACCGTTACATGAACATTTATAGTAGCTTTATGTGTAATTGTCCCAAACTGTCCTAAAATTGACAATTCTAACAGTACACATATCTGTGACTATAATAGAAATTACTTAATTACACCCATTAAATGGGCAAATTGTATGGTGTGTGAGTTAGAGTTCAATAAAGGGGATTTAAAAATTGTGAAAGGAATACAAACTTCTTTGTAACGCACTGAACTGTTCTTTGGGGGAAGATATGGCAATGGAATGGGTGTCCTAATTTTAAAAGGGACAAGAGAATCCCATTTGGCAAAGGTCAAGCTCACTATTAATTTGTCAGAAGCCAGTGGGAATGGCTATTATTATTAGGGCAGTACAACAAGAGGTAATCAGAGCAGCTTGATTCAGAGGGTTACCTACCAAGTGGTTAATTGAACTTTGGATATTTAGGAATGAAACAGACAAGCAGCACACTAAGGCCTATATAATCGGTAAAACAACAACGAAAAAAAACCTTATAGCTAAAAAGGTTCATAATCCTGTCCCAAAACTCAGGCCAGATTTAGGTCACAAATCTTGAGTACAGCTATGAGGATGAAACTGATTAATGACGTAGGAAAGACCCTGCAAATAGCAAGTATCTATTCTATCTTTCACCTAGCCTTTCACAAACAGATCCAAGGGATAACTATGCATGCAGAAAAGGAAACACCTATTTACTTTAAGGTGAAGCATTGGTTCTTAGCTAATACTAATCCGCTGGGACCAGAAGACCTCTGTGACGCACCAGTCTGTGGAGGGAGACTTAGAGGGTTTTATTCAGGTTTCCTCTTGGTGCTGCCAACAGAAATATAGACAAAGCTGTGGTGTTACTCCACCTGCTCGGTGTGTCTTTGGTGTAGACAAACTTCATAAATGGCAGAATCCTGCTTTGGCTCCCTAACTAATAAAGTAAGAAAGGGTCCAGTAAAAGTTTTTGAACTTGTCCCACTACCACCATCCCAAATAAAGTCAACTCCACATCTCAGGGAAGGGGATGAAGAGAGCATTCAGGTATTAGTGCCAGCATCAAAGACTGAAAATGGCAGGGTGCCTATTCCTGTCACATCCTATTTAAATCACCTATTGAGTCTAGTCACAAAATAAGGTGGTTTTGGGAACATAAGAGCATATTTGAAATTTAGCAGTAACAATATACTCTATAATTTCTGCAAGAATGTATTGAAGTTACTGGGATTATTTCTTCCTTATTTGATGTTCTTCACCATTTGGAGCCATTCGGGCTTAGTTTCCTTTGTGGGAAGGCTTCAAATTATGAATTGATTTTCTCTAACAGTTCTACTACTATTCAGTTTTGCCCTTTATTCCTGGATCAGTTTTGATCAGTTGTATTTTTTAAGGAATTTTTCATTTGATCTAAACTTTCAATAAAATTTTCAGTGTCTACAAGATTTGTTATTTTTCAAATGAAATTTTAGTGCTTTTCTTAACATTTTTGCAGGTGCTTTCTGCTGTATTAGTCCACTTTTTAAAAGCTTTTGCATTCTTATATTTTAGATGTATCTTTTGAACAGATTGAAAAAGGTTGAAATCTAACCTGGAGGTATTTCTTATAATTAGATTTAATTACATTTAATTAATTTGATTACTTATTTACACTTGAGGTAAAGTAGATCTATTTGGCTCTTAATTTTATCATGTTAAAGTGTACTTTTTATTTTTCCTGCCTAAATTATTTTGCTTCTTTTTTTCTTGCCTTTAGTGAAATTAATTACCATTCCAATTATTCTGTTACTTTTGAATATATACTTTTTTAAAGTTTTTTAAATTATTCTATTAATTTCCCTAGAAACTAAGATATACCTTCTCCCTGGATAGTGCAAGCATCTTAGACTGTTGAAACTCTATTTTCCTTTCTATGACATATACTGTTGTTGTCACTACGTACTTCAACTACAAAAGACATTACTATCAGAAGTGTTCATTTAGATTCAGCCTCTTGTTGTTCTTGACTTCTTCCTTCATCTCTAATATCTCAACTTGTAATCATTCTCCATTTGTCTAAAGTACGGCCTTTAAATTTTTTTCAATGTGTATATACTGTCTTTTATTAGAGCATAAGCAAATATTTCAGTCTGATACAGAATTTGGAGTTCCTATGATCTTTCTTGTTCCTGCTGCTTCTCACTCATATGTATCTAAGTGAACACTTTATTTGAAAGCCTTACTTGTAGAAACAATTGAGGCCTATGCTGATATTTTCTTCTTTTAGAGAGCATTTACATTTGTTTCTGCCTGGTGCCTGGAGGCACTCTCACTCCTTAGATGCTATTGCTGAACATTTTAATCACCCTGATTTTCACTTTCCAAATTAGACATTTTTATTGTTTATATAATTAATGTTTTATTAGATTTATCCATTTATTTATATTTTTCAAATTTCATTCTTTTATTTCAGATATTTCTTCTAAGGTAATTTTCCACCTTCTTGAGGTACACTCTTTACACTTTTCTCCAGTGACAATCTCTTGGTGATAAATCTTTTTATTTCCTAGAAATATTTTTTGTTCTTTCTTTAAAGTTTATCTGGACATAAAATTCTGGTCTAATAATAACATCTTCAACTAGCTGAGGATGCTAATGACTTCTGTTTTTACTCTACTGCTTTACTATAGTCTGTTTCCTTACTCTACTGACTTCTGGTTTTCATTGTTGTTGAAGAATCTGCAGTAACTGCTGTGTAATTTTTTTTTAGCATACAATCTGTCTTTTATATCTGGTTTTTTAAATGCTTCTCTGTCTTAAGGGTTCTTAATGTGTCTAAATGTCGATTTTTAAATCTTGCTTGGCACTGTTTCTGAGATTTATGTTTTAAAACAGTTCTGGGAAATTCTCAGTCATATTTTCAAACCAAGGGCTCTCCCTAATTTTCTGTTTTATCCTTCTGGAATTCTAAATAGGCTTATGCTAGACCTCCTTATTCTATCTTCCCTACATCTTAACTTCCCTTTATATGTTCTGTTTGTTCTCTACATTACACTGAATAATTTCCTTATGTGTTTACCTTCCCATTCATTACTTCTTTTTTCATTACTCATGCATGGGGGTAGGGTTCAGTCCTTCCTGGGGATTGCATTCCTCATGGCAGCCAGGACTTTGCCTAGCTCTTCTCTCTTCCTCCCAGCACAGATGTGTGTCCCCACCCTACTCTTGATGAACTTGAAGACCTGCTTGTCCTTGGAGACCTTGAGCTGCTGCTCCATGGCCTGCCCTCTCACAGGAGGCAAAGCAGCACACCTCCTGGATCATGTCCCGCAGGAACTAGGTGTGCTTGGTGAGGCACCAGAGGCTCCTGTGCTTCAGCTTGCTCGTGTTCTTGGTCACCTTGTGGCCCTTATTGATGCCCACAGTCATGGGGCAGGGGAGGGCTGCTGAGGCAGAAGTCAACTCCTTAGTTCTTTCAGTTGTGTCTTGTTAAAATCCTTTTTAAGGACTGCTTGGTGGTCCCTTCTCTTGATTGTTTAGTATGAGACAACTGGTCACATTGTATTTTCTTGTATATATTTTAAAGAAAAATTAATCCACAATCCAATCACAATTATCAAAACTTTTTATCTACCTATATACTCTCCATTCCATTCCCCTGTCTGTCCTCTTATATTTACCATATGCATTTTTATTTATCACTTCATATATATCTACATATACACACGTAGATATAGATATATAGTTAACTATAGACATATCTATATATATCTATATATATATATGTATAGCTATAGCTGGGGCATAGATACCATAGACGTGTGTACACACATTTGCGCGCGCGGCTGGCTTTTGTTTTCAGGAACCGAGCAAGGACAAGGAACTTATGGTTACCAGGCCAGCGAGAAGAGCTGCTGCAGGGCGGCAGAGACTGAATTACAGCACCTTCCTTAATCTCGGGGTGTTCATCAAGCGGAGATTTTTTTAAAGGTGAATTAAAGGAACAGGTTGGAGGCAGAACAAGTTCAGCTCACTGGCAATTGCCAAGAAGTCTGCTTCTACGCTGCACCTTGGAGTCCCGTGGCGCCTGCCGTGCAAGTTCGACCAAGTCTGGGCAAAGGTCGCCAGCTGAAGCAACGGTAGCCAGGAAACCTCTAGGTGCGTGGAAATCAGGGTGTCCACCTCCAGCAAGGCAAAAAACGCCCTGCTCAAAGTGCCTTAAGCAAACGAGCGCGAGAGGCGTAGCCTTAGCAAGACAGCGCCCTGGATCCACTACCGGACTCCGCCCCACTGTCCCAGCCGGCCCGCGCATGCGCAAAAAGACCAGCGGTGACGTCAGCCCCCTCCTGGCGCCGCTAGACGTAGCACGCCCAAAGGCCTGTCGTAACTGCCGGGCAAGAGAGGCCTAGAGAGGAAGGGCACCCACCAGCACACCCTACCCTGCTAGCTGGTATGCGCGCGCAGGTGGCTGATGCCGGCGCTGAGCCAATGAGGGGCAGAGACGTCACCGCGTAGCCTCCCGCCTGGACCCACGTCCTACCGCGAGGAGGCGGAGCGAGTTCGGTTGCACCAACACCGGTACATAGTCGCGGACCGGCGTGTCCTTGGACTTAAGGAGCGGGACGTCCGGCTTGGGAGCGCTAACCTTCGTGTCGCCCGCGACAAAAGCAGTGAGTGCGGGACACGAAGGCCGTCGAGGGTGGGAGGCCAAGTCGTAGGGGGCCTTCTGCTTAGGGGTGCACGGGCGGACAGAGGCCCACACCCAGGAAATCCTAGTGGAGCCTGCCTAGGGCCGGCAGGATAGGCAGCGACCATCCTGGGCTGGGGCCGGCCAGAACCCGGTGGGCTGCGGCTTGCGAGGAGGCTGAACTTGTCTAACTAGAGGCCTGGGTTCAGTCAAGGCCCTGATAGCCCAAAAACGGCTTGGGTGCAGATCTGACCCGTACGCGGGCCTTCCTGTAAGCGGGGCTAAGAAACTGGAAATGCTAGACGAGACTTCCTCCTCCCGTGTGGGCGGGCGTCGGGGGGAATGGGCGCAGCGTGGCTTAGCCTGCAGAGAAGGCGAAAGCTGCTCCAATAAGGGGTCGTTTCTTTACCACCTGTCGCTCTAGCCGTCAGCTTTCATAAGCATCTCTGAAAGGTTGCTTTCATCAGAGTTTCTCCAACAACTGCGTTAGAAGAGTATCCTCGTGGTCGCCCCCAGGGATCCCAGAGCTTGAGGATCCAGCTCCTCCAGGGGTCCCTGAGTGGGTGAGCCAGTCCCGCTCACCCACACCAAGGCAGTTTAGAGTGACCCGAGTAGGCTGAACCGACTCTCTTTTTTTAAATGTATTTTACTTTATTTCCTGAGAGATACCCTCAAATTATAGCATGAATAATTGGGTATTCTTACAAATTGGAATTTGGGTGGTTTTATCTTAATGCAGTTGTAGTTCTACCTAATCAGATTTGTGACTTTGTGTGACCTTGACCTCATCTTTTGAAATGGTTTTGAGCTGGGTCCACACTTGACTTACTTGGGCTTTAACCTTATGTCATTGACACACATGCACATGTGCAGACAGGTGTTTATAAGGAAGTTTCCCTTCCAAATATGTTTGATATTGAAGAGTCTGTTCCAGTATTACAATAAAACTATATATTTTGGTTATTAATGTCGATTTTGCAGTGGATTAATAATTAACTGGAACGATCATTGGTTCTCACTGAAGAGAACAAGAATAATTGTTTCTTTTTGTTTTTTTAGATTTAAAAATGAGTGACATTGAGAAGGGCAAGAAGATTTTTGTTCAAAAGTGTGCCCAGTGCCATACTGTGGAAAAGGGAGGCAAGCACAAAACTGGGCCAAATCTCCATGGTCTCTTTGGGCGAAAGACAGGTCAGGCCCCTGGATTTTCTTACACAGATGCCAACAAGAACAAAGGTAAGGGGGATGGGGGCAGGTGTTAAATAACCATAACTGAATCATGTATTATGTGAACTTAACCTGTGGTAAATGCTTTTGTCAGGAGTGTGAAATACTGAAAACATCCCTTCTTGTTTAGGCATCACCTGGAAAGAGGACACACTGATGGAGTATTTGGAGAATCCCAAGAAGTACATCCCTGGAACAAAAATGATCTTCGCTGGCATTAAGAAGAAGTCAGAAAGGGCAGAGTTGATAGCTTATCTCAAGAAAGCTACTAATGAGTAATAGTTGGCACTGCCTTATTTATTATAAAGGAAAAATGTCTCATGACTTTTTTGTGTGTACCATATTTAAATTGAGTTCATACACCAGAATTCAGATCATGAATGGCTGATAGAATTTTTTTTTGTTTGACAGTCCTGATTTAAATAAGATTGACTTGTGGTTAAATGAATAAGATGTGGTGTTTTGAATTTTGATAGCAGTTACGGTTCGTCAAGTACAGTGATTGTTTCCCTTTCTAAGATCTAATTGTACTTAATTAGTGACTTTTAACTGAGATGGTGAATGCCATCTCCAAATCTGTAGGAAACTGGTTTTATATTTAGATTTTATATAACTGGTTATATTAATATATTTAAATACTGAGAAATTCCCTTTGCTTCTCACATACAGACCAAGACTCATCTGTGTTTCAAGTTGTGTTATTAGCCTAGTAAAGACAAGGGCAGAAGATAAGCTGGCAGTGCCCATTTTATCTTTTTGGTCTTAAGATGCCCATTTGATTAAAATTTCCTGTACCTAAAATGTTGCCTTTTATTTAATGAAAGGCATTTTAGTTTAATAACATTAAAAAAAAAAGAAAATGCTTCTCACATAGGTAATCTATAAGTTCAAATACTTTTAAAACTCATGCTTGACAAGAGATAGTAGACTTGTAGAATTCTTTACTAAGATACAGTTCAGGATTGTCTCTTAAACAGCTATTCAAAGGTAGATACACTTACAGCACTACCATATATGTGTGATTGGTAATGGTGCTTTTGCCAGCTCATTAACATAGATGTACCATCAGCACAAATGTGTAAGTCATGTGACCATAAGGCTTAAGATAATTAAAACAATCACAGATCATGATTTTTTTATGTGCTTGATTTGATGCCCAATAACATTTTAATGGTTGAAAAGTACAATAGTGTGTTAATGCAGTACAATAGTGTGTTAATGTTGAACTGAAACAACACTTCAGCAATTCAGCCTTAGTTTTTCTTTGACCAGAATGAACACTTTGGCATTTATACCAAATGTGGGTAGAAGAGTGTGCCTCTAGTCGTGGTTACCTGGCAGATAACAATGTATAATTTGTGTACTAAATTATTTCATACACAGTCTGTGCCATACATGTTTGGAGTAGACCCTGGAATTTTCATGGAGAGCGTGGGCATGAACTAAGCCACAAAGAATGATGAGAGAAATTCTTACTGAAGGAAATAAATCTGTTGGTGATGAGGGCACCTCTGTGGACAGTGAGATTGGGAAGTTCCTCATCAATGCTTTCAAAGGTAATGGAGATGATTAGATAGGCCTTCAAGGCCTGACAAAGCCATTAGTAACTTGTGAATCTTATTTTGAATCATTGGAGATAAGGTGAGAGCAAAAAAGTCAGTCTGGAAGCTTGCAGAAATAATTTTGGGAAACAAAAGAGTCTGCTATAATTGAGGTTAAGTTCTAGTCTGAGTGTTAATGGTGGAGAATTAAAAAAAATCTATCCTGAAACCCTTCAGAGATTACGCCCAAGTTAATACTATTTAGAAATGGTGCAGCAATTAGCTTATAAGCAATAATTCTGGACCTATATGGAAAGATATGGAGTCCAGGGAGTTGATTTTTTGTGTGTGTGCCTATGTTGGTCTAAATAATCATCACGTACTTGCTGTATTCTAGCCCAGATATACTCAATAAGTGGCGTCGGTGATTTATAATATAAGTAACCCTATAGGTAATTCAAAAGAGGGGACATGCCTAGGTGTATGTGATATATGTTTTCAGAAATAAACGAGGGGAAAAAGCTAGCAAGCACTATAATCCACATATCTTCATTTCTAGTGCTTTGTGGTAGGTGACTTATTGAGTGTTAACAAAAGCAAGAGTAAAGTATATTTAAGGAGTGTTTCTTCCCAATGCTGCCTACATTCAAATTTTTCTAGAACAGCACTGTCCAGTAACAATTTTCTATGATGATGCATGTCTTCTAGACTGTGCTGTCCGATACGTTAGCCACTAACTGCATGTGACTTTTGAACCCTTAACATAGGCCTAGTATGACTCATAGCTGCAGTATAAATTTTATTTTACTTGTAATTTACATGGCCTAATGGTTATTATATGGAGAGCACAGATCTAGAACCAGAATCTGTAACAATATGTTTCCCTCACTCTTAATCTAGGATTCTAACAAATACACTAAAGTGCCCTTGAGAATATGGATTCCAATTCATGTTTCTAAATCTGATGTGCTCACCTCTATAACTTCACCTCTTCCATTCATAAGTTGACGCAGTGTATTTTACATAGGTGGTATTGTGGTAGTAGGTAGAAATGTATCTTGTCCTTTCCCATCATTTTCCTCTAGCCTCCCTATAGATGTTCATTCTCACTTTAGTCACTGAAGATTATAAATTGAAAAGGTTGTGATGATGGAGGCTTTACCAGAGGCTGGTCTTCCCCGGTTATCTAGACTCAGGTTGTTTGATAGAAGTCTAGCTCTCATGAGAGAGTAAACCAAAACTAAGTTTCTTAAATTGATGGGCTCTTAACTCTCCTTCATTGGATCAGAGTACTTGAAAGCCCAGTGTGATGCTCAGCATAGAATGAGTAGCATAGTTCTATTCATTAGAAATGTGACTACGTTCCACACAGGGATCACTAATTATGAGTCCAAAGCTTGAACAGTGTACTTCAAAAAAGGAACATTGAACTACTTAATAGTATTACCTGTGTTGTTAGGAGGGGGGATGTAGTGTTTAGGATTAGAAAAAGTGGAGTAGGGGGTCAATAAACAACAGCCGATGAGCTCGACCTGGTTTAGACACCTGGTTCTGTAAATACAGCTTTATTGGGACACAGCCACATGCATTCATTTATGGTATGTCTTAGACTGCTGTGCTTGCTATAATATCAAAGTAGAGTAGTAACAGACAGGAACATCCACAAAGTTTAAAGTACTGACTGAGACCTTACAGGAGACATTTCTTGACCTCTGATGTAGAGCTTGCACAACCTAGTTTTTGCCATCTGGAGAACAGGGATAATTACCTCAGGAGGTTGCTGTTGATTATTCATTAAGTGACATCTGTGAAAGCTCTTGGCTGTGGTAAGCCCTGGAATATTTGTTTTCTTCATTTTAATATCCACATCAAATTTCTTCAAAGTCGGTAAAAAATTACTGCTTCCAAGGTTAGCCATTAACCTAATTGTCAGGTCTGTTCTAGTCTCAGTTGACTCATTATCTCCAAGACATTTGACACCCTAGGCTGTTCTCATTTTTTACCTCCCTTGGGAGAACTTAGTTTCACATTCAGAATAAAAACCATAGGCATCATAAAATCTTTATGCATATGTAGTTATAATCATTTATTGGTAACCCAGACACTTGAGCATGACATTTATTGGTAACCCAAACACTTAAGCATAACCCAATCTAGTCCCATATCAAATAGTTATTAGTTGCATTCACATCTCAATTCATCCTCATGACCTTGGATGTATGGAACAGGTATTGTCCCTGTTTTATAGCTAAGTAAACAGACTCAGAGAGCTACATTGCCTTGGTGGTAGTATTGCATGTCCTGACACTGCTTTTCCATGGTGCCTGCTAACACTCCATATAAACTAGTCTTCAGAACTGCACAATTCTTACCTTAACTAAAGACAAAACTTTTCCCTTGCCTCTTCAGCCTTCATAAGTGGGGCTTGCTTGTTCTTCCACAATAGAGAACCTTGTGTTCTTGGCTTCGTCCAGATCATTACTCGTACAAACAGACTTAATTCTGAGATGCCAGATAGCTTCATGGACCCTTTGCTGTTGTCCACTTGTGCATCTTCGTCACATTAACCAAGAAGTTAAGCACCTAGCTTATATACTTCTTTATTTCAACTCTGATTTGTTTTTCCAATTACACCAGTAATAGCTACATGTGAGTACATTACCCACCCTTAATATGCCACTTGTTCTCAACACTTTTTTTACTTGATTTTTGCTCCTCAGCTCTTTCCATGGTTCCAGTTTAGACTTGTCATTTCTCCTGAACTACTCCACCTCTGAAATTAGACATCTTAGAAGAAAACATTGGCAGTACATTTCATAGTGATAAGCTCGGCTCCTATAGCAAGGAAAATAGAACAAAAAATATACGATTGGGATTACCTCAAATTTAACTTGTACACAAAGGAGAATAGATTTAAAAGATATCCTGCTAAATGAGAAAATTTACACATTACACAACCACCAAGGGAATAATACCTAAAACATAAAAAATAGTTACAATTTAACAAAAAAATAGGCAGCAGATCAACAGAATTCACCAGAGATATCCAGAAGGCCAATAGATACATGGGAAAATGTTCATCACTTTTAATAGGGGGATGAAGGTCAAAACCACAGTGAGACACTATCTCACACCGGTGAGAATAGCATGTATTAAAATGACCCCCGAAACAAATGTTAAGGAGGATGCAGAGAAAAAGGAGCCTTGTAACACTGTTGGTGGGAATGAGAACTAGTAACAGCCATTTTGGAAAACAATCTGGATTTACCCTAAAAATATAAACGTGGAAATACCATATGACCCAGCAATTCCATTCTATCCATAGTACGAAATCAAATCAAAAAAATAGATGTTCTACAATGTTCCTAGCAGCATTATTTACAATAACTAGGACTTGGAAACAACCTAGGTGTCCACTGATAGAGGATTATATCAATGTGATATAGCCACACAATGAAATATTTAGCCATGAGGTAAGATGTTGACATAAATAGCAAAATGTAAGGAGTTCAGTGGGATTATGTGTAGTAAAGCAAAGGTATCTAGATTCAACTGAACTATCCATGCTCTCCCAGTTTTCCTTGTGGTTAATTTAGAAGTACATCATGCTCTTCAAGCGCCTTTTCTCACCCCTGTCCCCATTCTCACAGCAGATGACCTTGCCTCCCATTTCAGATATGAATTCTCTACTTCTTGACTACAAGGAAGGTTTTTGTATCCCATCCCCCACCTTCAACAATATTGTTCTTAATTCAGATATGGTTCAGAATATTCATGATATCAGAAAGTTCCAGCATGATCACTCTACCATCATTCCCATCCCCCTTGTGCTCTGCCTTCCTCGCATAGATTTGGAAGGACTAAATGTTTTCATTTCGATGTGGGAACTTCACATTAGGAGCCACACTCCAACAGAACAAATAGACTAAATTCTGGAAAATACAGCTTTTATTATTCATTGGAAGTTTTAATGAAATTGTAGCTTTCCTACTTGCATAAAGCAGAGGTAATATATCAAGACCAAGAAAAGACAAATCTCTGTGGTTTTGGGTAAAAAAGCTGTAGATTTCCAAATCACCTGTCCTGAATTGGGGCATATGATATTGGCAAGTAAGGCAAAAACTTTATACTTTTTTGTAGTAAATGTTGAAGAAAGACAGCCTATGGGTCTGAGCCCCCTGCTGACTCCGCTTGGTGGAATCAGGCACACTAAGCCTTTGGTGCCTAAAGCTTCCTCATCTGTAAACAGACAGTGATTATATTAACACTTAGGGTTATTGTGAGGATTAAACGAAAGTTTTTTTGTTTTTTTTTTATAATAAATTTTATTTTTATATTCCCCCATACAATTGCAAACGCCCCATTCTGACCCCAATCCTTCCCCTCCCGCCTCCCACCCCCCAAAAAGTGTCTCTGGTTCATAGTTTTTTGTTGATTTTGATTTTCACTTTCTTATATTCATTTTCCTGGTCCCTTATTTAAGTTTTCTAGATTCCTGCTATGAGTGAGACCATCCGGTATTTTTCTTTTTCTTTTTGGCTTATTTCGCTGAGCATGATCCCTTCCAGCGCCATCCATGTTGCTGCAAATTGCATGTGTTTATCTTTTTTGAATGCTGAGTAATATTCCATGGTATATATGTACCACATCTTCTTGATCCAAACGAAAGTGTTTAACACATTGCCTGGCATTCGGTAAACACTGAAATATTGACTTTTAACTGGATGGGCAGGAAAAATTAATTGAATGCTGACACGGAGTATGAACAATTATAGTAAGTCTAGGTTGATAAATTCCTCTAGAGAAAGTTCACCCTTTCTTTTGCTTGGTAGGTAGAATGGAGGCTGAATATCTTAACTCATTTAGAGGCTGAACTTATGAGTTGGATTGAAACTTTTGGAAAGGCTTTTTCCAGGTCTGGGTCAATTGTGCTCTTTAAAACAGCCTTAAGAGCTAAGAGAGTTGACTGGGATCATCCCAAAGTGAACCTTGAACTCTGACCTTGTCTCCTCAGTGTTACAAGGCTGACACAAACTCAGCTCTCTTTTTCTGAGCTGAAAGGATAGGGTGTTGGGCACATCTTCTGTCTCTTCCTTCTCAGTGAGACACTCACCCTTCATTTTTCTAGTTTTTGTTTCACTATTACAGAAAGAAAGTAGAGGTCCTTCCCTTCATGTCCATTCCCTGGATTCTTTGGCCTTCGCTCCATACCCAGAATGGCTAATGGCTTTGAAGCAAAATGCAATCACAGAATGTCAGTTCACTTTTTTCTGCCACTCTTTCCAAGATTTTATCTTTTGAAGTTGTGATTGCTTTTCCATTATCTTCAAACAGTAGCTGAAAGCGATTGCATTTTAGCCCCACACATGAGAAAGAAGTGGATATCAGACCTTGAGACCTCCTCCACCCGCTTTATCCTGGACCTGCAGGTTCACTTACAAATGGCCTGCCCCTGTAAAGATCTTGCCTCTTGGGTTCACTTTGTTTATCAGGAAATAAAGCTGAGCGATGTTTAAATTGCTTGCTACTAAGCCCAGCTTTAATGACAGAAGGATAGCATTCTTCCCCAACAATCTAAGAGCATCTCAGACATATTTATGTCCCAAGCCCCAAATGAACCTCACTCTGCATCCCAGGCTAGAGTTAATAACTTTTTAACTTTCTTTGGTTTTCTGAAAAATAGAATTGCCTGCTTTCTAAATCCTACGATTTCATTTTGTAGCACTCTTAACTCCTCCCTTGTTGACAATTCTAGAGCAAGTGCTGTGTTGGTTCCAAATTTGTCAAGGCTCATTTTGATATTCACAGATATATTACATTCCATTTTTCAATTTATTCCCTAAATAAAAGTTTTGATAATGCTCTTGTGGGCTGCATTCAGTTCTTTGAATTTTAAATGAGTCTATTTGTGACTATTTTGGCAAGCAGGGTCAAAATCCTTATTGAAAGCAATGATGGCAGCTATTTTATAGCTCTGATTTTTTTAATGTTCCAATTGCATGGCTACCAGGTGTTTTCTATGCTTGGTCTAATTTAACAAAACAGCCGTGTGCATGTGTGTGTGTTGGGGTGGAGTGGCAGTAATTATTAGCTTCACTTTATCAGAAAATAAAGCTGAGCAATGTTTAAATTGCTCATTACTAAGTGGTGGAACTAAGATTCAAACTCAGGTATCTCTAACTCAGAAGACCTTGCTCTTTCTAATACAATTCTGTCACCTGGCCCTTATTTCTCAGTGTCTGAGGCTATAGCCAGTTTCTAACCTCAACCCTGCCTATTCATTATGACCACCTGTAACTCCTTGGTGGATGACTCAGAACAGTTCATCACCATTACAGTTAAGCTGTAATGACACACCAGGACACTTTTATAAGCTCATAATAAAATTTAAGCATATTATACCTGAGGACAAGTTCTTGGCTAGAAACTCACAAAGAAGATTGGAGGCCTTAAAGAACCAAGTTTTCACTGGAAAGAAAAAATTACAGGTTCTTGGCACAACCATTAGTAACTTGCTGGTGGCATGTAAAGGAACTACTGGCCTCAGTTGGGTTGCACAAATCTGAGGAAAAAAGGATATGCATGAAGAATTGGAATCATGGCCCAAGCAAATATCAAGGCAGTCCTCCATGAGGTAGACTCCTGGGCTCAGTTCTGGGTATGTCTGTGGGTGCTGTAGTTCTCAACCCAAGTTAACCTTTATGTCATTCTTATAGCTGGAACTACCTTTTTGTCCCAGAATGATCTGCTTTAAATATGTTCTGGTCAATGCTCCGACCAAAGAGATTGGTTAGACAAGAGAAGCATGGAATAGAGCAGTGAGGGCTGGTAATGGCATTGTGACTGGAACCAGGGATACCACTCATGTATGCATTAGTCAAGGAGCTTGTAGGAGAGGTGCAGGATCTCTTATTCAAGTGGCCTTCTGAGCTCAGAATTGACACCTCTCTCCAGAGACCCAGGATCAAGCACAAAAGAACCAGGAACTTAAATGACCACCGTGGACATCTCACACTGCTGTCACAGCACCTTCATTTGTTTTCCTGCCCAATATTTCAGCAAATATTTGGTCCTCTTCCTCCACAGCCCTTTTCTTCCTCTCTCTGAGAACACTCGGTATAGTCTCCTTTGCCCATGGACTTTGGGGTGCTACTTGATAGTGAGGACAAGTGTTGAGCAGATTATCTGCTTTGGTAGTGGAGAAGAGTCAATTTGCTAACAGGATGTCACTGGGTTGCTCACCATTCTGGAATTACAGCAAATAGCACAGTCTTTTGATAACCATTCAGTACAATGTGGGAAGTAGTCTTGGTAATGGACATCGGGCCTAATGAATTGGACACAGTCTTCAAGGTGTTTTTATAAACCCACTTGATAAAGTTCCACAATCCTGGGGGAAGACCTCAGAGGGTGGAAGATGCGTTGCATGAGAGGGAAGAAGGCCATGGACCCAGGGCACTGGCGGCCAGGCACTCCAGTGTGGAGCAGTGCTGTGCAGGGCTGTGCACAGAGGGTCCTTTGAGGAGGATTGTCACAGACTCAACCTGGGACAAGGTGGGAGGTGTCCGTTTACTGTATGTTCTAATCAGAGAGGAGAAAGCGCAGGGTTCAGAGCTCGAAGTCCCCACCAAGCCAGGAAGCCCCCAAAGCCAGCCAGGCCTGGGCCCCATTGGCCAGCATCATGACCTGCAGCCCCCCACTCCAACACCCGCCCCAACCCCCATCACTGACACTGTTGCCACCATCGTTGCCTCCTTCAGTCACTGCAGCTGCTGGAGACATCTGAAATTGCCTGTTTGTGAAAACATGTCCTAAATGATTTTGAGAGAGCAAAGAACATATTTGTAAGTGATTACTTAAAAATAAAATGTTACAGCTCTATACAACACTGGTAAAGACATTTAACTCAGAAATGAGTTGGGTTTTTAGTTAAAGGCATGAAACTGTGAAGAGGGGGACAGATTCACAACTCTTCTAGAATCTCAAAATGGCAATTACAGCTACAAATCAAAGAACAGGACTTTTATACCTTAGCTCAATGTTAAGACCCAAGCAAGTATCCAGGGCTTAAAATACAGGATTAAATCAAACATTGTCATAAATTCTTCTGACTCTCCCTTCAGATAACTTAAATAAATATTTATTTCAAACAACGTGTAAGGTCCTTATCAGACCTGATATTCACCGGGCCTTGTCAGGTCCCCCAACTATTTCCTCCCTGAAAACCTTAAGCTGATTGAAGTGGACCTTCCTAGGTTGTTTGTAGAGTAAGAGAAAGAAACCTATGAGGACAGAGTGGGAACTTTGAAGTTGCTTTGTTTAAAGAACTCTGCCCATCAGGGATAAGTAATGAGACCTTATTATCTTCCTTCTTCGTCAATCAAACAACGACTCTAGCCACTAGCGCGAGTGCCCCTCTCTTCAGTGGCCATGCCAGAGTCATATCAACAGTAGTTTCCATGACCACAGCTAGCAGATTCTGCTCTGGAATCCATGTTTGGCTTTGCTGTGAGCACAGTGACCAGCACCATGAGCAGTGTGACCAGCACCACCTCTACTTCCCAGTCTTTCCTCTTTGACACGCCCCTTGACTCTGGCACCAGCTTTACTCCAGTCCTGGGCTCCCTATTCCAATTTGGCAAGCCTTCTGCCATGCCTGTTTCAACAACAGTCATCACTTTGGCCAGTCCCTTCCTCGTGCCATTCAGACAACTGACAGCAGCAGCACTGCCATCTCCAGTGCCTTTGGCAGTACCTGGGAAACCTCTGATACTATCACCAATGCTGGCCTATGGTGACATTCAGTAGCACTACCACCCCAGCACTCCACATTCTTCTTGGCTCAAGCACTAGGCTTCCCCACCCCCATATCATATCCAGGACTCAAGCCCCAGTCCACATTTTGGGCCACTGATTCACAGCAGCAGGGAGTAGCCAAGCCAGCCCCAACCCTGAGCTTTAGTAGCCCTTTCACATTTGGAAACTCAGCCCAGCCCCAATTGCTACTCCAGCCCCAGCCCCAGCCCAGTTAGCTGTTGTCAGCACTACACAGTCTCTCTGTGGGTTTTAAACCCACAGCCTCTGCCTTCAGCACCCCTGCCAGCACTCAGTCCCTCTTTAGCAGTACCACAGCGATTTTCTGCTTTGGCGCAGCCATCACCACTGGCTTTAGAGCTAGCTACGTCCCAAACTACCTGCAGTGGGGCCAGAAGCTCTCTGTGTGGTAGCACAAAGCCATCACCCTTCCCATTTGGGGGTTTCACAACCCAGATGCCAGCAGGTGCTTTGGGA